CTCCCCCCAAAGTGGGGACAGCTCACAGTGGTCCTGCTGCCTTCCAGGCAGTGACCAGCATTCGATTCTGGGGCCGTGCAGCTGTTCATTTCTTAGCAATTACATGGTTGTGACATCTGGGAAAATCCTTTGCGGTATTTCGTATCCCTGTGCTTCCTGGGTCACTTGAGATTACCAGGTTTCTTCCAAGTTCCTTTTAGGAACTTCGCCTTTTGCCTTTGATGTGATGGTTCCTATCAGAGAGGGAGTGAGAGAGAGATGGAGAGTTGTACACCACACATGAGTGCAGGCACTACGAGCAAAAGCAAGCTGGGCCCCAAGTGTGTACACCAGTGAAACCTACCAAGTGTGGCGTGTCTGTAGGATTTTTCCTTTCTGCTCACCTCTCCTGAGGCGTAGTGTACAGCTGAGTGGTTATTAATTTGATTGGATATGATAATAACAAAACAAAACCCTGGGCCTACTGGATTAGAATCTCCAGGGCTGGGACCTATGAATCTGTATTTTGAACCAGCACCTCGGTGATTCTGACTCTTGGGAAATGTTGGTGTGCATTGTCCTTGACTCCTCCTGCCCTATGTGGACATTGACGCCACCGGTGCCTCTTTAGAAGTTCCCTTTGCCTACTCTCTGGCTCGGGAGAACCGATCTTTGCTTCTTGTGTAGACCACTTAGCTCTGTGCTCTCCTGACTGTGCTTTCTACCCCTCTCCTCCCCTCCCTGCCTCCGCAAAGGCTACTATTAATTAGCAGCAGAGGACTTCACGTAAGAAGAGGTGTTGGTCTGACAAAATCATAGTGGAAGAGTGGGAGGTTGAGATTTAAGCAGATGCTCTATCTTCAGGATCTTGTGAAAGTGGGGCTGCCTAGGGTCAGGTTTGCTCTCTAGGTGGTCATAAAATGCACATTGTATGGTAATTATTTTGGTTTTTACTTGCTTTTCTTGTTGTTGTTATTGTTATTTGGGGATTTGGGGGGTCTAAAAACTCCCTTATCTAGGTAATGATGTTTTATACATTATTCTGTTTGCAAATGCCAGGATTCCCCCCTCTGATTTCTGTCCCAGGCTGGTCAGCCAACAGGCTGAGCTGTTGTTTCCTAAACTGGGATATTCCAAGATACTCTAAGAAACAGTCAAAACTTGATCAACCGGGATGTTTAGGGAGTGGGATCCCGGTGACCTGATGTGACGTAGGCAGTCAACCCATTTGTCTTACCCCTTGTGGAAATCTCTCTAAAATTATGTGTGAGCCCACATAACTGTTTTAGGAATGTTAAAGATAACTTTCAGAAAAAGATAAAATCATGAGTCTCTTACAGATATAAAAATGAACACGTACTAAAGATTTTATTTTACTCGTTAATCAGCAAGAGAACCAGACAGATGTTATAGCCGGTTCAAAGAAAAAGTCCAAAAAGCACAAATTTATATGGAGTAAAGGAATTGAATTGCAAATGGAGGCAAAACTGGTTTTTCCACAGTGGGGAGGAAAGTCAATCCAAACTGCATGGGACAAGACAGAGTTTGCATATCCATCAGTTACCTGCAATTTACAAAGGTGCAAAATAACTCGAAGACAATGAACTGGGCTAGAATCAGGCAGCTTGGAAGGGTGTGCTATAGATAGTGCATAGCGTTTTCATTGAAATACATTTTTTTTTTAAACAGTAAGCATGGTGAATACTTTTTAGGGAGGTTTCTTTTGCTTCATGTAATTTCTCAGGGTCACCACCTCAATTCTCATCCAGGTTTCACTTCCATATAACACGTATATACTGAGTACTTACTATACGTAAGATATCGCAGAAGAACCAGAGACAGAAAAGACAGTATTTCTTACCGTAAGTAGCTGATTGTCTGGGGGTGGGGGCAAGACAGATGTGCCACATCCCCAACTAACCACACAGCAGAGGGACTAAGAATCTGTGCTGTGGTAGGGGTGGGAATGAAATGTTTGAGGAGAACCAGAGAGGGAGGAGTTAACCGACCAGGGGCTGGGGCTGGGGAGATGACATGATGACATTTAAGCTAGGCTTTGAGAGAGGACAGAAAGGAAGAGGGGACACAAGAGAGGCCACTTCAGGGAAGGGTCAGGAGTTGGGGTGGCAAGGTTGCAGGGAAATAGGATGTGGCTGAAGAGGAGGCTAGACAGGAGGTTTGAGACCAGGTTGTGGAAGGCCCTGAATGCTGTGCTAAGAAATGTGGGCTTGATTCTGAAGACAGAGGAAAGCTATTGAAAGCTTTGGAGGAGGGAGGGGGTGACGTGATCGAACTGGTTCTTTAGAAGATGAATTGATTGTAGAATTAAGAGATTGGAGGCAGAGGGACCAGTTAAGAGGCTAGTGTAATATTCTGGTCGAGAGATGATGAGGGTCTGCATCAGGGCAGTGGTGAGAGGGGTAGAAGGAGAGGATGGAGATGGCATTATTAAGGCTTGACTCCTGATGGCATGTGGGTGGTGGGGGAGAGAAGGAGTTGAATGCTGAAATTTCCAGGCTAGGGGATAGTGGCGCTATTACCTAAGGTAGGAAACACGCTGGGTATGGGGGTGGGGAGCAGGTTTATGGTAACAGATAATGAGTTCGGTTTGAGACACTGAGTTTGAGGGGCTCGGTGGACATCCAATTAACAGCAAGTTGCTGCCAGCTGGAAATTCTGGTCTGGGTCTAAGGAGAGAGGTCAGGGCTAGAGATACAGATTTGGGAGTCATCAGCGCACAAAGGGGTGAGTTGAAACTGTGGGAGCTCTTGAGCTAAGCGAAAAGGAGGGGCAGGACACACACACACACACACACACAGAGGGAGGGGGTTTAGGGCAGAGGGAGGGGAGCGGAGGGGTTGGGGAGAGCCAGACTTGAGCTAGAGAGACAGGAAGAGGAGAGACAGAGGAAGACAGAAGGACAAGAGAGGGAGACTGAAGGCTGAGGCCCGAGGACTAAGAGTGGGAGGGGGGCAGCGGGGAGGGAGGAAGGGAAGGAGGAGGAAAGGGAGGAGAGAGTGGAGCCTGAGGGGAAATAAGAAAGGTGAGATAAAGGAGGGAAAGGACAGGGGCAGGAGGGGTGGGAACGGGAAGAACATTGGAGGAGAGGGGACCATGGCAGGGGAGGAGAGAGAAGAGAAGCAGAGGAGAGGGGAAGACAGAGAAATCTGGGAGAATAATAGGGGGAAGGGGAATGATGAGGAGAAATAGAGAGAAATGGGAGAGAGAGATTGAGAGAGGAGGGGGAAGGGAAAGAGACAGAGAGATGGGTGGGGTAGGAAGAGAAAGAGGGAGGGAAGGGGAAGGGGGATAGGAGAGGGTGGCAGAGGTAAGGAGAGACCGAGGGCCAGGTTTCTGGGGTGGCAGGAGAGAAGGGCCCCAGATAGGCCAGCAGGCACTGGGTCTGAAAAGCCAGGAAAGGGGCAAGTACAAAGGAAGGGGCAAAGGCAGCGGTATCCTATGCGACAGGGACAGGAGTAGGATGAGGACCAAGGAGAGAATGGGGGATGTGGCCCTGCTGTCCTCTCACTGACTCTCTCCCTTGTCTGCTCCCTCTGTGCCAGCCACGCTGGCCTCCTGGCTCTTTTCTGATCTTAGCAGGCACCTCGTGCCTTAAGGACCTTTGCAAGGTTGTTCCTTCTGCCTGGAATGCTCTTCCCCAGATATCCACATGGCTCGCCTCTTTGCTTCCTTCAGGATGTTTAAATGTCTCCTTCTCAGCAAAGCCTACTCGGTTCACGCACTTACACGTTGCAGCCCGTTCCACTCCCCACCCCCAACCATCGCCCTTGCCCCTTAGCCTGTGTTATACCACCTTCTAACATACTGTAACACAGACTCATTTAACGTGTTTATTGTCCATCTCGTCCCACTAGAATATAAGCTCCATGAAGGCAGAGATTTCTGGTCTTTTTTGTTAATTGTTAAATCCCCAGTACCTAGGACAGTGCCAGCACATAGTAGGTGGTCAATACGTATTTGTTGAATGAGTAAGTGATATTGTGTTGAATATGGACAATCTCTGAAAATTGTATAAAGGATAAATGAAACAAATTCCTGAGGTGACTGTATTTTACTGTGGTTTACTTCTTTGGAAAGTGGAGAACAGCATAAAATTCTGATCACTGTAGGGTTTTGTTCAGTTGAGCTTTGATGAATAAGGCTTTTAGCTAATAAGTTAATTCGAGTTTGAGGGTCTCAAGACAACCTCATTGGATAAACCTCTTTCTCTTGATGCCTCATTTTCTCTGGAAGGTGAATTGGCTGTGCAGTGGTTGTCAACAGCGAGAACCCGACATTGGCTGGTGAAGGGGGCGGTAGGTCGTGGGGATGACAGACCGATAGGAAGGGCCAAGGGCAGACATGTGCGGTTCTTGATGGAGCATTGTTTTCTGTTTGTTTGTGGTCAGAGCACAAGGAGTATGGCATCTGATCTGAAGGGCACTTTAAACCAGGTTAGGTATATGCATTATATCTATATAACTCCTAACTTGAAATTAGAATGAGTATTTTTGAAGGGCTTATAAAGAAAGCATGTGCTTCCTCTGGAGAGCTTAAATTGGTTATGTCACTCAAATACTTCAGTACTCATGGATTGGAGAGTTGACGAGAAAAAGATTCCCCAGTAGTCTTTCGATGCCCTGTTCATATATGGGAATGACCCCCTAATTGTAGTTGGTTAGGCTAAAAGTGTGTAGAACAATATACTGGCATCTCACTTGTCCGAAATAGATTGAATTTCCTCGAACACTCATGCATATCTGTCTTTCAGATAATTTAATCACTCTAGGTGATTAACAGCATCCTCGTCTCCATCCTGAAACCTATGGATTCCTGGAAAGCTGGTGCCCCCTCGTCCCCATTTGGACCTTAATTTTCCATAGCAGGCTGGCTTGTGAGAGACTGCTTTAACATTTTGGTGCTCTAATTACCTTTATTTATTTAAATGTTTCCGCATAAAAGGTGGTTAAAGCAGCTGTCCGTGTTACAAGTTTTGATTTTTGGGAGTTCTTTTTCCCCAGGGGGAGTGGCCACAGCAGGTCCTAGCTGGTGGTGAGTGGCTGTCATGATCTCTACAGCACCGCTCTACAGCGGCGTGCACAACTGGACCAGTTCTGACCGGATTCGCATGTGTGGCATCAACGAGGAGAGGTGAGAAGGCTGGGAAGGTGGCTGTTGCCGGCTTCCAGTGAGCGGTGCCTGCTCCCTAGCGAGGTAGCTGCAGCAGCGCCTGAGGGGGGACCCTGGGGAGGAGGCTGCTGGTTGTTTCTAATTTTCCTGAGATGGGCTGGGGCTGGGGCTGTGTGAGTGGCCTGCTCTGCCATGCCATCCCTGTTCAGATGAAAGTGAGGAGGCCAACAGATGACCTTTTGCCGACTAGTATTTGTCTGCTCATTAAGAACTGTCAGATTGTGGATTAAAGGGAAGCTTGGGCAATTGCAAGTTTTATTTGCTGCATCCATGTTCTGTGCTCAAGGATACGTGTAAGATATTTTTGGTCCTTGATCTAAGCCTGGAAGAAAGGCGATTTTGTCATTCAGCTTTATACTGGAAACTGTTAGTGGGTATTCTGGTGATCAGCACTTTCCTGCCTCACGAGGCTAATGATGATTCGCAGTGAGATCCTTATGAAGTATCAAAGGAGGATCAAACTGCTTAACGTAGTTTTCGTATGAAATTGAGAGTTGGTGATGCTTGCCTGATCTGCGTGTGTTTTCAGTTTTCTGTTCACCAAAATACTGGGTTGACCAGGCTGTTCCATTGCCTGATCATGCCCCATGTGAAGAGCACTCAAAATGGCCTTCAGATTCTACATTTGATTTTCATAACCCTTGGCCAAAGAGCTGTGTGTGATGGTTGCATTGCCTCTCCCATTTTTAGAGAAGGTATGACTCCCCCATGCTTGCTGGTTTCAATATATCGACTGTTGAAATCCAAATACATCAAGTCAGTCACCTAGAATACAGAACGATATGGCTTTTCCTGGGACTCAAGATCTGACATTTCCTTGGGGAAATCTTGGAAGTGTGTGCATGGGTGTGTGTGCATGTGGGAGAGTGTTGGTAATATTGAAGGGAAAAGGAATGGGCATCTTTGTGTGTATCTACTTTCTTCTGTTCTTAACTGGAGAAGTATGTACTTGTGTGAGGTTCAGGTTAGGAGAATAGACCTTTTTATTATTTTTTAAAAGCCATTAGCTCCTGATGGTTTAACGCTGTCTATACTGAGGAACAAGTTAGAGATGGACTTAAAAGGAATTTAATTTTAGAATATAAAAATCAAGATCAAGGAAAATAAGACAAAATTCTCAGATCTGCACGAGAAAGATATTTTCCTTTGCATATGACGTATGTCCTTAGATAATAACTAAGAGATGATCTGGGGAAGGCAGAGTGCTGGTATTGATTTGCGGGAGTATTCATTGACAGCTAGTTATAAGTAGTTGAGACTTTGATGTAGAGATCTGGACTAGAGCCTTCAAAAAATCAATGAACAAGTTACCTTAGTTTACTGTCTATTCTAAATCCCCTCTGAAAAAGGACCAGGAAGTGGGCCCGAACCTGATTTTCCCTCCTTATGGACCTTTCTTGGGACGTTAGATTACCAAATATGCCAAGTGGTTAAGATGACCTTTTTTAAGTGTTGTCACTCCTGATCTCATCTACCCGTTGCTGTCACCTTCCCGCTACAGCCCAGGCCATGCTATAGCTGATTTCTAAAATGTGATCTCACCTTATTTAAAAACCATCTTCCTTAGCCCTTGACCACCTGTAGAACTTTGACATTTTGGGTGTAAAGCTGCATCTGGGGGTTAACTCTTAAAGTTATGTTTGAGAAGCCTGCCTAGCACCATCAGATGTAGCTGAGGGCTGTAGAAACTGGGGACAGGGGCTTTATGCTGGCCTCAGGTGGCCGACTCTAGACAAGCCTCCAGCTAAATCCCTCTGCTTGCTTGCTGCTTCCTTTCTTGTACCCATTCATGCCTTCATTCACCAAACATTTATTAAACTCAATCAGAGCAAACCAGTAGTCATGGGATATTGGTGGTAAGTGCTGTTGAGTGGCGTGTACAGGTCCCGTGGGAGTCTAGAGGCCAGAATGAAAAACTTCCTGGGGGAATACAGGAGGGCTTCCCAGAGGCAGTGGCCTTTGTGCCGGGGCTTGGGGGATGAGTAGGTGTTTCAGGTGAGGGCTGGTATTTCTCACACGGTGTGTTTGGGGGAGACCTTGGCTGGAATGAAGGCAGTCTTGGGGTGCTATGGGAAGTCTGCAGGGACTGCGATCTAAGCGAGATGTGTGCCATGTAGTTAGGACCCAACAGGAAATGAAAAAGGTCTGGTTTGACAGTGGTGCTAGCCCTTAATAATTAGGAAAACAGCCCTGAAAGGTTATGGCTGTTTCTGGTTTAAGTTCAACAAAGCCTTGAGCATAACGGCCCAGGGTCATCTCTGTTGGGAAGAAAAGGTGGGATTGATTTTCAGACCTGACTGAAGACTGCTTTGACCCCTGCTCCCTTTTCCCCGCCACCCACGCCCTCCTAATCTTGCCCGGTTGACCCTCCTCTCCCCAGGCACCCCTGCCCTGCAAGCTGTCTCTGTCCCAGGCTCTTCTCTCAATGGAGCAATTTAACGTTTGCTTGGCTTTACACACCTCTCTCCTCAGAGGGTTTGAAACGTGGCCACAGGGCATTTTCCCAGAGCCTTGGGGGCTGGCACTCAGGTGTGGGTATGGCTGGAGTAGCCAGGACTGCTGTTGTCGCTGCCACCTCCAGAGTCTCTGGGCCGGTGGCTCTGCCGTTCTCTGGTGGCTGCCTTCGAAGGCAGGGTGTCTACTTTCAAGGTGACTTTATGCAGGGTGGGAGCCGAGCAAGGAGGGCCGAATATGCAGCTGAACTCCCCTTTGTATGGTCAGGACGGGGGAAATGGAAATAGTGTCTCCCCTCTGCGGTCCCTCATGTGGGGCTGGTGAAGGGGGTGGTTCCCTGCCGCTCCTTTTGCCTCGTCACCATCCTCCCCGCAAAACCATCCCTGGCCTGGCCTAAGGCTGGGTATTGGTCTTGCTTTTCTGGGCTCTCAGGGGTTGATGTCGAAGTGTGTTTGCCCTTTCCCTCAGGCTCCCCTTCCTCGGGACCCCTGACTGCATCTCCAGCCCTGCTCTCTTCTTATGATCATTTCTGTTTGTCACCAGCAGTCACTGCCAGCAGTGGAACCCTCCCACTTCTGCCAGCCTAGATGCCTTTTAAAGGGAACAAGCCTTTCCCCCCCGGTTAGTCCCTTCTGGAGCCCTGAAAAGATGGGGAGAGGCCCGCGGTGATCCCCTTGCCTTTTTTGCTTCTCTTGCCCCAGGTACAATTTTGGGGTCCATCAACAGTGCCCTGTTCCAGTGGGAGGGAAGGAGTTAGTTCTTGTGGGGGTTGGTTGTGGGCGCCCTGACTGCCCTTTGGTTAGGATGGCTGGTGAGGCAGCTGCTGGCTTCTTCCCTGGCTGTTGCAGAGCTCAGGGCGAGGCTCTGAAGAAGGGGGGCAAACCCCAAGGCAGTCTAGCTCCCCAGAGGTGCACAGAGCATTCCTGTGCTTTGCACCCTAGGAGCCACATCTCAGGGTTTCTTCTGGAGCTTTATTCTTGCACCTCAGCTTTCCACTTGGCCACTCACACCATGGCTCCTGCCCCACTGGTGTCTTCCCTAGGGCAGCAGTGGCACGTTCTTGCTATAACTCAAAATACCAAACTTCCAGGGGGTGTTTGTCTTCTCTTCAACTTCACCCTCCCAGTCTGACCTTTTTTTTTTTTTTTTTTGGTCAGGATATACCATTTTCTAAGATTCTTGCCCAAATTTTAGAGAAGACATTTTGAGGAGGTGAGGGTACAGTTGAGTTTTCCTCCTTTGGGAACCAGCTCTCTGGCCTTGAGCATTTCCCTCTGCAATATACCAACTTGAATTCGGGGTCTGTAGCCTTGAAGGCTTCCTTCCCTTTGCGATGGGAGAAAATGCAGTGGTGCTGGGAGGCCAAGCAGGGAGTGGGGGAGCTGGCAGGGGATAGGATGCAAGCAAGAGCAGAAAGGTAGGGAGGAGGGTGCTGGCTTGAGCTCTCTGGTGCCCTAGAGAAGGGGAAGAGATACCCTAGAGGGAAAGAAGTTGTGCCCTTGAAATGCCCCTTGATGCTCAGTGACCTGCCTCAGATGAGTATCATTATGTGCGCTAGTAAACGTGTACCTGCTCTAGGCAAGCTCGTCGGGTGACTAGGTGATGATTTGGATTTGGAACATGAAACACAATGGGGGTGGTTATTTGTTTTAGGAAAGGGTTACCCTTATGGTACCTGCAGCCAGCTTTCCTTGTAGACTTAAAATAAGATCATATTTACAAGAAAAGCAGTTTGCATGCCTTTTGGGATCTTCTGTGAATGACCTCTCCCCTTCTGGCAATGCTCAGTACCTCCTGGGCGGTCACCTTGATGGATAAGCTCTAGGGACAAGGCAAAGGTGCTGGGGTCCTCCACACTCCTGGTGAGAGCCCTAGGACACACAGCCCAAAGAGGGGAGTCTAGTCAGATCAGGCTCCTTTGCAGGAACTTGAAAAGCTGGGCACAGAGGCTCCGGTTTTCAGCCTGGACCTCCCCCACCCCTAGTTCCTTGTGATTTCCCCCAAGCCACCAAGGGAAGCGAGACAGGAGGATTTTATGGGAACCCAGGCAGGCAGGGGGCGTTCTGGGGAAGGTGGTGGTGGCCTGAAGACTAGGTCTCATGTCCCTTTTCTGGTTGTGTCTCCCATGCTAGAAGAGCACCTCTTTCTGATGAGGAGTCCACGACAGGTGACTGCCAGCACTTTGGATCTCAGGAGTTTTGTGTCAGCAGTTTTTCCAAGGTAAGGGGCCATGCAGAACCACATGCCACCTGCCAACGGGTGGAGCTGAACTGCTCAGGCAACGTGCCCAGCCTGCCATCCCAAGAAGGGGGCCAGGAAAGGACAGGGTGTTTCCCAGGAGTTGCTGTATGTGAGACAGAAATTGGCCAGCTTCTCTTTGCTTCTGCCTGGTTGGTCGAGTTGCAAAGAGGACCAGCAGTCACCTCTCCCGGGCCTCGGGACACTTGCACGATCTACAGAGAGCTCGCTAAGATGGGCACGCTGCTCTGTCGTTGCAGGTGGAGCTCACGGCAGTTGGAAGTGGCAGTAATGCCCGGGGGGCAGACCCAGATGGCAGTGCAACAGAAAAACTTGGGCACAAGTCAGAAGACAGGCCTGACGACGCCCAGCCGAAAATGGACTATGCTGGGAATGTGGCAGAGGCAGGGGGCCCCTTGGTGCCACTGAGCAGCCCGGGAGACGGGCTCAAGCTTCCCACTTCTGACGGCCCAGAGGCCAGCAACGGCACGGCAGACTGCTCCTGGACTCCCCTCAGCACCCAAATGAGCAAACAGGTGGACTGCTCGCCAGCTGGGGCGAAGGCTTTGGACTCTCGGCAGGGTGTCGGGGAGAAGAATACTTTCATTTTGGCAACTCTAGGAACTGGCGTCCCCGTGGAGGGCACCCTGCCTCTGGTTACCACTAACTTCAGTCCGCTGCCAGCCCCCATCTGCCCCCCGGCTCCCAGTTCAGCCTCTGTCCCCCCATCTGTTCCAGATCCATTCCAGGTCCCCCTCTCTGTCCCCGCCCCGGTGCCCCATTCTGGGCTCGTTCCCGTCCAGGTTGCCACTTCGGTTCCGGCCCCTTCCCCTCCCTTAGCACCAGTCCCGGCTCTGGCTCCGGCGCCACCGTCAGTGCCCACACTCATCTCCGATTCGAACTCTCTTTCGGTTTCGGCCTCAGTCTTGGTGCCCGTGCCAGCTTCTGCTCCCCCGTCGGGCCCCGTCCCCCTGTCGGCTCCAGCCCCTACCCCCATCTCAGTCCCAGTTTCAGCTCCTCCCTTGGCTCTGATCCAGGCTCCTGTGCCCCCTTCGGCTCCGACCCTGGTCCTCGCACCTGTCCCCACTCCAGTTCTGGCTCCGATGCCGTCGTCCACGCCTCCGGCAGCTCCCGCCCCTCCATCGGTGCCGATGCCCACCCCGACCCCGTCCTCTGGCCCGCCTTCTACCCCCACCCTCATCCCTGCCTTTGCTCCCACGCCGGTGCCTGCACCCACCCCAGCCCCAATCTTCACTCCAGCCCCCACGCCCATGCCGGCTGCCACGCCCACTGCCATTCCCACCTCTGCACCCATCCCGGCGTCCTTTAGTTTGAGTCGAGTGTGTTTTCCTGCAGCTCAGGCACCAGCTATGCAAAAAGTACCCCTGTCCTTTCAGCCAGGGACAGTGCTGACCCCGAGCCAGCCGCTGGTCTATATCCCGCCTCCAAGTTGTGGGCAGCCACTCAGCGTGGCCACACTGCCAACCACCCTGGGAGTCTCCTCCACCCTTACACTCCCTGTCCTGCCATCCTACCTGCAGGACAGGTGTCTCCCTGGGGTGCTGGCCTCCCCAGAGCTGCGGTCTTACCCATATGCATTTTCTGTGGCCCGGCCTCTGACTTCGGAGTCCAAGCTGGTCTCTCTGGAGGTGAACAGGCTCCCCTGCGCTTCCCCATCCAGCAGCACCAGCACCCAGCCTGCACCCGATGGGGTCCCCGGGCCTTTGGCAGATACTTCCCTCTCCACTGCTTCTGCCAAGGTGCTTCCACCACCACAGCCTCTGCTGCCAGCCCCCAGCGTGAGCTCAGCCCCACCGCATCCTGCCAAGATGCCAGGTGGCAACGAGCAACAAACAGAAGGGACTTCCGTCACTTTCTCTCCCCTCAAGTCACCTCCACAGCTGGAGCGAGAGATGGCCTCTCCGCCTGAGTGCAGCGAGATGCCCCTGGACCTCTCCTCCAAGTCCAACCGGCAGAAGCTCCCGTTGCCGAACCAGCGCAAGACGCCTCCCATGCCCGTGTTGACCCCCGTGCACACCAGCAGCAAGGCCCTCCTCTCCACGGTCCTGTCTAGGTCCCAGCGCACGACCCAGGCTGCCGGCAGCAATGTCACCTCATGCCTGGGCTCCACTTCCTCGCCCTTCGTCATCTTTCCTGAGATCGTGAGGAACGGGGACCCAAGCACCTGGGTGAAGAACTCCACTGCGCTGATCAGCACCATTCCCGGCACCTACGTGGGAGTGGCCAACCCAGTGCCTGCATCCCTCCTGCTGAACAAAGACCCCAACCTGGGCCTCAACCGAGACCCCCGTCATCTCCCCAAGCAGGAGCCCATCTCCATCATCGATCAAGGAGAGCCCAAGAGCACTGGTGCCCCCTGTGGCAAGAAGGGCAGCCAGGCTGGGACTGAGGGACAGCCAAGCACAGTGAAGCGTTACACCCCAGCCCGCATCGCCCCTGGGCTGCCGGGCTGCCAAACCAAGGAGCTCTCCCTCTGGAAGCCCACAGGGCCAGCAAATATTTACCCACGGTGTTCAGTCAACGGGAAACCCACCAGCACCCAGGTCCTGCCTGTTGGCTGGTCACCATACCACCAGGCGTCTCTGCTTTCTATCGGCATTTCCAGTGCCGGGCAGCTGACCCCCAGCCAGGGGGTGCCCATCAGGCCCACCAGCGTCGTTTCTGAGTTTTCTGGTGTGCCATCCCTTGGCCCTAGTGAGGCTGTGCATGGACTTCCCGAGGGGCAGCCACGGCCCGGGGGCCCCTTTGCTCCAGAGCAGGACACGGGCACCAAGAACAAAACTTGCCGGATTGCTGCCAAGCCTTACGAGGAACAAGTGAACCCTGTCCTCCTGACGCTCAGCCCTCAGACAGGGACCCTGGCACTGTCTGTGCAGCCTAGCAGTGGGGACCTGAGAGTGAATCAGGGGCCTGGGGAATCAGAGAGCCACCTCTGCCCCGACAGCACTCCTAAGCTGGAAGGCCCCCAGGGGGCTTGCGGCCTGAAGCTGGCAGGAGACACGAAGCCTAAGAACCAAGTGCTGGCCACCTATATGTCCCATGAGCTGGTCCTGGCCACCCCCCAGAACCTGCACAAGATGCCCGAGCTGCCTTTGCTACCTCATGACAGCCGCCCCAAGGAAATCATCTTGGACGTGGTCCCAAGCGGCAAGAGGGCCTCCAGCACAGACCTTGCACAGCTCGGAAGCCAGGTGGACCTGGGGCGGGTGAAAATGGAGAAGGTGGATGGTGATGTGGTCTTCAATTTAGCCACCTGCTTCCGGGCCGATGGCCTCCCAGCAGCTACCCAGAGGGGCCAAGCTGAAGTGCGGAGTAAGGCTGGGCAGGCTCGAGTGAAACAGGAAAGTGTAGGTGTCTTTCCTTGCAAGAACAAGTGGCAGCCAGACTCGGTGGTGACCGATGGGGTGACCGAACCTCTGCCGCCCAAGAAAATGAAGTGCGGCAAAGAGAAGGATGGAGAGGAGCAGCAGCCGCAAGCCAAGGTTGTGGTCCGCAGTTCCCTTGGACCCAAGGTGAGTGCTGGGCTGAGGTTGAGGGCCGGGCCGAGACCCCAGCGGTCTGCTTTGTCCTGCAGACGTCAACCTCGTGCAGCGTTCTTTAATTTTAATCTATCTATCTATCTATTTATTTATGGCTCCGTTGGGTCTTTGTTGCTGCGCATGGGCTTTCTCTAGTTGCGGTGAGCGAGGGCTACTCTTCGTTGCGGTGCGCAGGCTTCTCATTGCGTTGGCTTCTCTTGTTGCGGAGCATGGGCTCTAGGTGCGCGGGCTTCAGTAGTTGTGGCACGTGGGCTCAGTAGTTGTGGCTTGCGAGCTCTAGAGCGCAGGCTCAGTAGTTGTGGCACACGGGCTTAGTTGCTCCGCAGCATGTGGGATCTTCCCGGGCCAGGGATCGAACCCGTGTCCCCTGCACTGGCAGGCGGATTCTTAACCACTGTGCCATCAGGGAAGCCCTCGTGCAGTGTTCTTGAGTAGCTCTGTGAACTGAACTGATTGGAAGGCTTGTGTAAAGTGAATCATGACCCTTACCAAGTAACATTCTCCATATATGGTGTTTTAGCGTGGGGAGGGGTGGGCTTCTATTTTGTAGATGTGGGAAATGATTCGGTCCCTGAGGCTAGGAAAGCCATTGTCCCAGATGAGGTTGGAAAGTGGAAGAATACCATACGATATGGGGAGGGAAATCAATTAATAACAGGCCCTTCCTTGCATGGCCATTCTTCCTTTTCCTCTTCTAAGATAACTGCTGGCCTTGAGAGCTTAGGGTCCAGGGAGGCAAGGGGCCTTTGACAAGGTTGTTCTCTGCACCACCGGGGTAAGCCTGCTTAGAATTTGCTTGGAGTTTTGTGGGGCTCGAGCCAATTCAGCTTCTGGGCTTATCCACCAGTTTCCTTTCCCCCTAATGCTTGGGGTGGCAGCTGTGGGTTTCAGCCCATTGGGAATTTGATGTCCAAGGCAGATGGGCATCTAGGTCTGGGTTCTTAATAGGCTAAGGATGATGGCAGGGTTCTAGGCAAAAAGGTGGGCTAAGAGGACTTGGCCTGAATCCAGTGTTCCTCCAAAGAGGATCTGAAGGACACTAGTGATCAAGGAGATTCTTGAAGCAGTTGAGGATAGGTAGGGCTTATTCAAAATATGGAGCAATTTGAGGTTATGTTAACAGCCTTCAGATTGGATGTTGAATAGATTTCTAGCCAGAGCACTATGAATTTGTTTGTGGCAGAAGCTCTTAGTCCTTTTTGGACCATAGAGCACTTTGGGAAGCTGATGAGAGCTGTGAACCCTGTCCCCTGAAACATGACCTCAGAACTTTGCCCATAATTTCAAGGGGCTCACGGACCCAACCCACTCCCCAAAGCCCACCCATGGACTCCAGGTTAAGAACCCTGGGAGTAGAGTTTGGGTGGGTTTTTCTCAGTGACCCCATGACCACCTCAGTACGGCAGAGACATGCCAAGTAGGAACATAGGTCATTAAACAGTACAGCGTATGTCTAGCGTTTGCTCAGGTGACTGCAATCTGCTCTTGGTGGTAATAATAATAGTTCATGTCGTTATAGTTGTTACTGTTTGTTGAATTCCTACTACATACCAAGTGCTTTCTACGTATGTTATCTAACTTAATCCTTCAAATAACCCTATGAGGTGAACACTACACCCAATTCACAGATAAGAAAATGAGTAAGTTACCCAAAGTTACACCGCTACTAAATGACAGAAGTGGAACTCAAGCTCCAGTCTTATTGGCTCTGAAGTTCACGTTCTAAAACAACTATACCCCAATTTAAAAAAATTAAAAGAAAAAGAGAAAAATAAAGTTCATGTTCATCTTGAGCTATGCCACACTATCTTCCACTCTGCTTATGTATAGCTGTTTCACTGACCATTTAGCAAGTGTTTGTTGAGCGGCTACTATGTGCCAGTCCTTCCCAGGCAGTGGGAATACATCTTCAGGAGGACAGTACAGCATTTTGGTGAGGAGTATGCTTTCTGGAGCCAGGCACAGTGCCTGAGTTTGAATCCTGGTTCTACTTCTTCCTAGCTATGTGATATCAGTCAAGTTACTTCATCTGTCTCGCCCTCAGTTTCCTCATCTATACAATGAGACAGTGATAGTACCTACTCATAGGGCTGTGTAAAGACTAAATGAAATGATGATGTGAAATGTCCAGAATGGGCAAATTGACAGAGACAGAAAGTAGATTAGTAGTTGCCTAAGGCTGGCGGGGATGAGGAATTGGAGAGTGACGGCTTAATGGGTACAGGGTTTCTATTTGGGGTGATGAAAAAGTTCTAGAACTAGATAGTGATGATCCTTACACATTTCTGTGATTGTATTAAAAACAGTTGAATAATAAACGTAAATAAGTGTATGATATATCTCAGTAAGTTATATGTCAACAAAGCTATTGTTAAAAAAAGATAAAATGAAGTGATATGTGTAAATGCTTAGAACAGTGCCTGGCACATAGTAAGTGCTCGGGAAGTGTTAGTGGCTGCTGTTGATATCATTAGTATTACAAATAGGATAGACCCTCATGGAGCTTATGTCTTGCAGGCGACTCGCTGACAGGCAGGCACTGCCCCTTCCTATATTAGATGAACAGTTCACTGGGCCCACTGACAGATGCAGAGGGCAGAGAATAAAGTCACAGCGTCAGGAGCCTTGAAGCAGCCCTTGGCAGCCGCCTGTAATGATTTAGTAAATGTCCATTTTTCCAGAAAGCAAATAACTTAGATCTTTCTTTTCTTATGTTCCATTTTCCTGAGAAAGAAACCATTGATAAGCAAAACTAAAATCAGGGGTCACCTCTCCACAGTGCCGGAAGCCCAGTCTCCAGGGTATGGCCCCTTTCAGGGTATGGCCAAGAATCAGAATACTCTCCGTAGTGTATACAGCAGTAGGAGTATAATGTTATGTACATGAAACTTATATAATGTTATAAACCAATGTTACTGCAATAAAAAAATTAAATAAAAAAAATTTAAAAAAAGAATCAGTCTCCTGTCTCCTACACCACCTGCCCCAAGGCCGTGCGGAATCCTGAAGGACCTTCTGAGTCATCAGCAAAGAAAGTTCTGCTTCATCTGGTGCTGGTTGTCTTCTCATCTTTTGGAAAGTTCTTTGGAAAACCCTTCAAAACTCTGTTAACCAGAACATTCATCTTACATGGTCTCTTCATCACCGCAACTTTTTGCCTAAGTTGGAGTGTGCGATATATTTTTACTCTGAGTGTTGCCCTTGCAGAACATACAGACACAGATCCCTTCTAGATGTTCTGTTTTACTTGTTTTTGTCTCTCTTAGGAAGTAAAAGTTAATGATCTGTACTTGAAAGAGCCAGCTAAAAATGATATTCAGAAATAAATACGACATGTTCAAATTGACATGCACTGAACTTTATTCCGCCTGACTTGAGGTAGTTGTTCTGTGGCCATACCTGAAGGTCACACTTTAAGCAGCAGTTGCCCATCTTCCTCTTTCCTTCCCATTTCTTTCTTTCTCCTAACACTTTGGTTTATAGGAGCTGGCAGCAAGTAAAGGGAGAAACTGAATTTTCAGCTCAGCCCTCTGCTGAATAAGAAGCAGGAGTTCATGGGATAGCAGGAGTCCCTGGAATTTGATGGGGAATGGTGGCTCTATGGAGACATATTCCCCCCGCCCCCACGCCGGAAAAATGTTGCGTCAGTAAGACATCTGCCATCCCCTTAGCTGGAGCTGGACCGTGATAACCTTTTAGAATGTGGCGTGCGGGTCTGCTTAGGGGGAAAACAACTCTTCCTTTCTTCCTAGGGCCCGCTGTCATTGTTAAAATGTTTTGCTTACTCTGCACTCCTTGGATACTACAATACTAGAAATCCCTACCTTGCCCTATTTCTTGTTGGGTGGCGTGGAGAGATCTCAAAGCTTGTGAGGATGTGTGACTGCTAGGCTCAAGAGTGTCCTTGCAATGTGTAAGCACAACCATTGTGCCTACCGCATGCGCTGGGCAGTAGGTATGAGTGGGGATGACCAAAACCAGTGGAGGACACAAGTGAGGGAGAAGAGGAGTGAGAGCTGAGGTGAAGAGGCCTGGGATGGGCGCCAGGAGCCCTGGGTCTTAGTCCTAGCTCAGCCATTTTCTCACTGCAGGCACAGAGCAGCTAACTTGCAGGTTTGCCTGGTCCCGGACGGCCCCTGAGCAAGTGGACGCCTTGGGCTGTGTTGCCCTGGACAAATCATTTAACCTCTTATCTTGGAGGCTCAGTTTCCTCGTCTGTTCAAGGGTGTGATATTAGGTTTTCCTCTCTGGGTTGTTGGGAAGAACAAATCGAATATTAGAGAGAGTGTTTGGAAAAGGTGAAAGGGCCTCAGAGTGTAAAGGGTCATTATTGAAAATGCCTGGGCCTTTTCGGTGTCTTTCCTAAGTACGGGGAGATTGGAATTGCTGCCGTGGTAGACTTTTCTTCTTGCCTTAGTTGAATCTTTTTTCTGGTATTAATCTACATGTGCAAATAGATAATTTTTCTTGAGTTGGCCCATATGAGAATTAGTTTCAGTTGTTGGTGTCAGTACTATTCACAGTGAAGTTATTTGAACAATGTAGTCATCCAACTTGCAGAAGAGGCATTTTTGTTTTCTGTCCATCTCTCTATTGCTGTTCGGATATAGAGAGTATGGGGCCTGACTTTGCACCTTTTCAAATGACTTTGGGTGTTTATTCGGCTTGTGAATGCAGACTCTGTGGACGTGTTTCAAATGATGGGGTATGGATGTCTGTGGGGATTAGCTAGGGCACTGGATTCAGTCCAAAAAGCCTCTGTAGCCCACTGTGGAAGGCAGCAGGGCAGCCCCTTCCCCCAGCCTCCACGTGGGAAGCTCGTGTCCGTGTGTCAGTATCAGGGCACAGGGCTCAACATTAAGAGAGCTTTCTTAAGAGGTGAAACTGACCTCAGACCTGACTCTCTCCACCTCTCCACAGTGCCGGAAGCCACCTAGTGACCCCCAGGAACCCACCAAGAAAAGCCCCAGGGGGGCTTCAGATTCAGGAAAAGAGCACAATGGAGTCAGGGTAAAGCACAAGCACCGGAAGCCAACAAAGCCGGAGTCCCAGTCTCCAGGAAAACGAGCCGATGGCCACGAGGAAGGTAGGCCCCGCGGGTCCTGGCCCTCTTGATGGGCTGCAGAGGGATCCCTATGGTGTGTGGGGGGGAGGGGCTCTGCAACTGACCAGGAAAGTGAGACTTCCTCACTGTGGGAGAAAGATATAATTTGAAAAAAATATTTATTTATTTATTTGTTTGGCTGTGCCGGGTCTTAGTTGCGGCACATGGGATCTTCGTGCGGCGTGCGGGATCTAGTTCCCTGACCAGGGATTGAACCCGGGCCCCCTGCATTGGAAGCATGGAGTCTTAGCCACTGCACCAGCAGGGAAGTCCCAGGAGGAAGATATAATTGACACCTCTGAAATCTAAGCGGAGGGAGAAGGGAGACAGGAGTGGGGGCTTAATGCTGCTCACCCTGGTTGCTAGAATAAGGCACACTCTGAAGTGGTGCTTTTCAGATAGACAAGAGTCAGTCCTACAGCAGAGTAGCCAACCTATTACCCTGAAGTGGGTCTAGGCTCAGGGAAGAAATGGGTTTAATGAGGATTAAGACCAAATGGGGGTTATTTACACTGTTTTGTCTACCTTTGGTATATTTGGAAACTCCCATTATAAAAGTTAAAAATTAATAGCTAGCTAGCTAGAAGGGTTGGAGGAGTCCTAAACCCTTATTATTTAGGGACACACAGGATGTTTGGGTTGGGGAGGTGTGTACGTAACCCGTATGCTCTGCCACTAATAGTTCCTTGGCGCCCTCAGCAGAGAGAAGCCCGCGTATTCCTGCCCATAGTAGCCGGTGTTCGTAGCCTTGCCTGTCTGATGTGACCTGCCTCTCTCTAGTCTGTTCCTATATAGCAGTTTTCCGCCGTCCGCCGTTCCCTGCTCCCATCTTCCTGCCTTGCTCAATCCTCTGCGATTCATGGAGGTTACCCTTCTCTGGGACCTGCTCCAGCTCAGTTATAACGCTGTGGAGGCGCAGCAGCCTCACAGTCGTCCAGACAACCGGGCCTTCCACTTTGTGGCGTGCCGGCGAATCGATGCCGTGCACTGCCTTTTTTGGTGTCAGCAAAAATGACCCAACTCCCAGTTTTCAAAAACCACCGGGAAAAGCTCCTTCTCTAAAAGAGATACGTAGGTGATAGCAGCATAAGGGAAATTAATAAATGTAATGCAGGGAGAACACAAACCCTCCCTTGAGTTCTCCATTTGAGCCTCTCGGGTTGGGAGGGTGGGGGAGGCTTTCCCGTCCTGAGACTCTGATTGTGATATCTCTGCCTTCTGCTCTCAAACCACACACCACTCCAGGTTCCTTGGAGAAGAAGGCAAAGAGCAGTTTCCGCGACTTCATCCCCGTGGTCCTGAGCACCCGGACGCGCAGTCAGTCTGGTGAGTGAGTCTGAGGCTGAGGCCCACCTTGGCACTCCTCTGCAGAGAGGTAGAAGTCTGGTCGAGTGACCTTGCCATTGGCCCAGGTGGAGAGTTGGGAATTTGATTCACCGTGCCAAGATGCCCAGCTCCTTGCAGAGACAAGAGAGCCCAGGGTAGGAGCTGGGTCGTTGCCCACGATTTTAGGATGATTTACTTAGCATTTCGTAACAGGGATTTGACATCTCTTGTTGGCAGCCAGTGGTGGAAAGAGGAAAGGCCTGTGCCACTCAGGAAAACTGATTCTACTCCAGGCTTTGGCATCTCGTGATTTTGGGGGCCAGTCTCTGGCACAAACATTTAACCTTTGGGCCTCTGTCCTCTTGCCCTGTGTGCCAGGTATCCAAATTGGAAATGGTCACTGAGTCGTCAGGGCCAGCAGAATCACCTCTGGTCCCCTGAACTTGTATTGGTCAACCCCCAGGGTCTAAAAAAGGATAGCCCTTTCTAGCTACTACTGTTGCCTGCTAGCCTCCAAGTTGGTACTTAGTGCTAGAAATGGTTGCCCCGGTTCACCCAGATTTCCATGCAACGTGGGTGGAATGGGGAAGCAGGGCACAGTGTAAACTCAGTTATCTGACATTCTATTAACGGGCACCTCAGCACGTGGAGAGCGCGGTGGTAATTGGGGCTCGTAATGACAGCCTGGAGGCCTCGAAAAATCCTGAAGTGTCCTCTGAATCATCAAAGAGCGATTACATTACAGCCGTTCCCATTTCAGTGTTAAACACATTGTAGTGTATTTGATTCTTTGGAAATTGGTGATCCCTGTGTGATCTCTATGGTGATTCGTGTTAACCAGAATATTAGATTAACTAGAACACTTCGTTCCCTGCCTAGTCTGTATAATGGAAAGTTTCCTGGATATTTGCTGTCTTTAAGCAGTCTGACTGACTGACTTGAAGCTTTGGTCAAGAGCCACTGCCACCCTGTTGGCCTCGAACCTTCTCTTTGTTTTTTGGCTGCACCGCTAGGCTTGTGGAATCTTAGTTCCCCAACCAGGGGTTGAACCTGCGCCCTTGGCGGTGAAAGCGCGGAGTCCTAACCACTGGACCACCAGGGAATTCCCTCGAACCATTTCTTTCTTCTGCTGACCTCGCTTGGGTTTGGGGATTGTCGAGTTAATAGCCGGGCCTCGGGAGAAAGATGGTGGTATCTCAGAGCTGCTTCTGAGAAAGATGTCAGATCTCCTGGATCACTAAACCGGGCCAATTTAGGACTGTGTTTGTTGTTAGCAGAATTGAAGGCAGGCGTGGGGAGGAAAATGGCCTCTTGGCCGGGTGGCAGAGGAGGGTAGGAAAGGTCCCCTCATCCTGGGGTGGTGAGGAGAGGAGGGGGAAGTGCCTGCCCAACGGTGAGGAACAGCTGCAGTGGGGCAGGGGGTGGAGCTGGGGAGAAAGCTCCACCCCTGGACTCTTGGCTGCTCAGTAGGAGGTGGGGTCAATGACGGGAAGAGGGCGTGGCTGAGGAGCATTTGGGCGGGACTAACGCAGGCTGTGTCACAGGAAAGGGGCTCCTTCTTGCTTCACTCTTCCTGAGACTCTTTGGTGACAACTCTGCTTGCCCAGGGTGGCTCTGTCAGCAAGATTGGGGGGTCACATAGTGAGCACGGGCGGGAGCGCCATGTCAGTCTGCCCTCCCCCACCCTCTACTAAACCCTGTGGCCCTTTCCTGCCCGTCAGACAAGTCTTGGCACCTTATAAGCACTAAGTAAGAGTTTGTGGAATGAATGAAAGTGGCAGGGCAGCGTGGATGAGGAAGGGTGTGTGGTTTGGATACTTGATAGCTGTGTAATATATTGGACTCTGTAAAGCGCTTAAGGGTGAATTATCTCATTTGAGCCTCAGAACAGTCCTGTGAGGTCAGTAAGGCAGAGAACAGTATTCTCATTTTATAGACGAGGAGACAGAAGTGAAGGAACTTTCTGAGAGCATACAGCCAATAACTGGCAGAGCCTGAACTCGAACCCAGACCTTCAAACTCCTAATCCAGGGCACTTGCTTCGACACCGTACTCTTGGTCCTTTGAAGAGGTACCTGACCGTCCTCTGTACATCCCGTCCACAGGAAGCATCTGTAGCTCCTTTGCTGGCATGGCAGACAGTGACATGGGAAGCCAGGAAGTCTTCCCCACCGAGGAGGAAGAGGAGGTGACCCCCACCCCGGCCAAGCGTCGAAAGGTGAGAAAGACCCAACGGGACACCCAGTACCGCAGCCACCATGCCCAGGACAAGACCCTGCTGAGCCAGGGCCGCAGGCACCTGTGGCGAGCCCGAGAGATGCCCTGGAGGACAGAGGCTGCCCGGCAGATGTGGGACACCAACGAGGAGGAGGAGGAAGACGAGGAGGAGGGCCTGGTGAAGAGGAAGAAACGGAGACGGCAGAAGAGCCGAAAATACCAGACTGGGGAGTACCTGACTGAACAAGAAGAAGAGCAGCGGCGGAAAGGGAGAGCAGGTAAGGCCGGCCGGGGGCTGCTGCCCCAGGGAGCTGCTGCCCCCCGTCCCCAAACCACAGTGACTCTGGCTTCTGGGGACCCTCGGGCATCTTGGGTGTTCCCACCTCTGCCTCCTCTACGCCAGCCAAAGGCCTCTGCACCCAGAGAAACATGGTGCTATGAGCTCCAGCTGCCAGAGGGGGTCACTCAACTCCAGTCCCGAGGTCTTGGCTTGGGGTTGAGATTGAATGACATTGGACTGACCTACAGGTGAGCTGAGGACATGTAGCCCCGAGCTCTCCAATTTTTTATAAAAGTCTGGACCTGTGGGCAAGGCCACAGTGACGTCCTTGGTGTGGGACAACTCAATACCAGGGAGTTCTCTGGTTGGCTTGAGGGAGTCGGGTCTTTTGGGAGGTTGGGTTTTCTCTCCTAGAATCCTGGCTTCAAGAAGAAAGAGGGTATTGGCTGCCTTTCCTGGGATGCCTCCAGCCCCTAAACTAAAAAGAAGCACAATGGTTTCCTCAACCCAACAGAAGAACTTCAAGTAGAAGCGGGCACAACTTGGCTTTCTTAGTTAAAGCCACAAAGGTCATTAGGAGGCAGAGTGAAGCTTTCAGATGACATCATTTTTGTTGGACCTGCAGGCATCATTTTTGTTGGAAAAGCAGGCAGCCCAAGGAGAAAACACCAGGCTTTGTTTGGCCACGTTAGACGCTATAATATGTAATCATGGAGGCACAGACCATCACCAAGGCTAATATCAGTTTGTTGGGCTAAGCGCTCTTTGGGCCCATTCCTACAGTGGATTTCTAGATGAGCAAAAAGCACGTCTCTGGGTTCAATGAGAACACCTCTGTCTCTCACTCTCTTTCTCTGACCTCTGCCCCTGAAACAACAATTGATTGGCTCCTATAATGTATTCATCCTGAGCTGCCGGTAAATATCTGCGGTCTCCATATTAGTGAAAACTGAATAACCACATGTGAGTGGGTAGTAGATTCTGGGTTTGCTATAATGCAAAGAAGGCTAAGCCTCATTTCCAGCTGTGTTTAAGTAGAGATATACACAATACCTATTCCCGCACTTAAGAGAGTGATCGAGCCAATTTTCATCAACCGTGTGAGAGCGTGGAGATGATTTTCCCAGTTCTCTGCCACAGCCATATGGATTGGTCAGGAGTGAGTTGTCAAGCAGTTGGCCTCAGCCACTTGTGTTAGGATGAAGAGGAGCTTTTGTACCACCCAGTCTTCTCTAATGAGATCTGGTTTCCTAGAAGCTTGGAAGCTTCTTATGGAACTTACCGGCTTTTGGAACCAGAAGGACCTTCGAGATTACCTGGCCCAGTTTTCCACTCAATGCGGAGATCTCCACAGCACTCTTGACAGGTAGCCTCAACCACCTCCAGGAGTATGGGAACGCCACTCAGCAAGGCATCCTGCTTGTCGTGGAGGCAGCTCCGGCTGTTGGAAAGTAGATCATTCTCCCTCCATGTGTGTCTACGGGTTTTGAGTTGAGTTTGTTGGCTTTGGCCTGTGGTCTGGTCACCTTCCTCTAGATCTGATGGTGACTCTTCATGAAGGAATTGCCTGGCAAACATCTCTTTTCTCCGAAAGCTCTGATCCCTCCTATTGCTACCCTCTTTCAGGTTGACATCAGAGAGTCAGGCAGAGACCAGACTAAACAGGTCACTTTACTCCTGTCTGGGCCTCATGATCTTTCCTTTCGTCCTTGGCTTGGGTCTCTCTCTTCTTGATTTGCGGAGGGGATAGGAAGAGCAATACACCTGCTACCTTCACCCTCTGTTCCTTTCTGTGCTACTGTGAGGCTGCTCCACCACAGTTGAATAAACTCCACAGCCTGCCCTGCCCTGAGTACACAGGGAAGGGGCTGCTGCTTTTCCTGTGGCGTTGAATGCTGTAATATGGCTTCCCTGTGTTTCCTGAGGTCCTCACAAGGCACGGTTCTGTTCCTTCCTCTTTTGCCTCAGCCCAAACTTGTTGCATCAAAAGGCCTGGTTGAGAACGTGCTGGCTGGAAGTGCCATTAGAAGCCATCCAACACAGCAGTTCTTAGACAGACGTGGGGACCCACTAGTGGGTTGGAGCTAGTTGGGAGGAAGGGGTGGTACGGCAGCTGGCCTTCTAAGAGCTGTGCATAACCTGCAGACAGTTCCTCATGCTGTAATGATGGTTCCTACATCCGGATCTGCCCTTGGCAATTTCACACGTAAGAGCGCGTGCAAAGGTCAGGGGAGGCGAGTTGAGAACGCTTGGATCTTGCTCAACCCCTTTGTTTCACAACCTGGAGAAACTGAGGCTGAAGTCACTCACTTCACAGACATACTGATCTTTTGCCGTGTACTAGGCATGGTGGCCAGGCCTGTGGGGGAGATAAAGAACACACGGGCATGGCCCTACCTAAAGAGCTTACACTTAAATAATACGATAATGATACCTTACTCTTTATAACACTTTATAAGGGGTTATGTGGGTTTTATGCTCCCCATTTTCCAGACATGGAAACTGAGGCTCAGGGAGATTATGACCTGCCCTCAGCAGTCACACAGCTAGTGGCCAAGTCATGTAACAGTAATGCTAAGAGATAAGGATAAACTCAATCTGTCCCCCTACCTCTGGAGTTCAGGACTGACCCTGTGGGATGAGGCTCTTGGTAATGGAGTTCCCAGCAGGCCTTTTTGAAGCTGGAATGTGCTCTGTTCAGTGAGCTATGGCTAGAATTAGAGATGTTGCCCAGTGTGTCCCAGTGACTTGATTTCCAGCCATGGAGGGCAGCAGGTTTCTGTGATTGCCCACCAGTTAAGTCGGCCCATGGCAGCTTCTGGTTTCAGGGAGTTTCTGTGACTTTGATCTTTGTGTGCTTGGAGAGAGACCAACAGGGCAGTCAGGCGGGTAGAGCTGAGGCTACGAAGGAAGCCTTCTACCATTTACTCCCCACCCCAGTATACTTCACATTTCACTTCAGCAGAGCTGCTAAATTTGTTTTCGTATTAGAGTGGAAAAAAAGACAAAGTGGGGAAAAGCTGAAAAGAAAGTTCTGATTTGCTCTGGGCTATGGGGAAATCCTTTTAAAATTACCCTCATCTTAGGGACAGCCAGATGGGCCACCCGCTGCTAGCAGGGCTGGGAGTTGTCTCCTGCGTGTAGAAGAGGGACTTTGATGCGGAAGCACAGTGTCCATTCGAGAAGCGTTTAGTGGAATAGTCAGCACCGTGCCAGATATGGGTAGCGAATAGTTACACAACTTTGTACTGAGGTTCTAATCCCCAAAGTCCTCTGATTCAGCTTAGAGGAAGGCGTTGCTTTTCTGTGTTCCATTTCCCTGACATCCATTCTTTCCTGTTTCTTGCCTTTAGATTTAAAGGCCCGTAAGCAGAAGACTTCCTCCCAAAGTTCGGAGCACCGCCTCAGGAACAGGAACCTTCTCTTGCCCAACAAAGCCCAGGGGATTTCGGATTCACCAAATGGTTTCCTCCCAAATAACCTAGAGGAGCCAGCCTGCCTTGAAAATTCAGAAAAGCCATCAGGAAAACGAAAGTGCAAGACCAAGCACATGACGACGGTCTCAGAAGAGGCAAAGGTACATTACCAGCCAGGGGAGCTGTAGAGGAGGGGCATTGTGGCGGCCGGGGCCGGGCTAGGGTGGCACATTTTCCAGGCAGGCTCCTCAGTCAACAGTCTTCCGAGTGAGTGAGTACACCGTGGGGAGGGGGGGATCAAATTAACCCATATTTATTAAAATATTTTAAACTAGTTCTAGAAGGGTTGGGGTATGGATTTGAAGAATGGGAACTAAAGTTAGAGCTGACAAGAAGCATCTGCAAACTATGGGGTTTGGCCCATGATGGCTTTTCCTTGACAATCCTTGAATCTCCTTTGAGTTAGGGAAGAGCTAAAGAATATGGCAGGATGTTACCCTGAATAGCTTGTTAACATCCAATCAAGAAGCTTTTGTATGGGCTTAACTCACTGGAAACCGATCAGGGAGCTTTCTGAGTCAATCAAGGTAGAAAACAACTTACAGAAGCAAGGATGTTGATGTCCAGACAAAGGTTGCCTAAGGGTGGGGCTGAAGGAATTCTTCCACTTGGGCCGGTCATAGCTGTACTTCCCCAACCCCACTCCTCAGTTCCTTTGCTTCTCATGGAAGCAGAGGAGCAGGTAAGTGGGCGCTCACCAATCAATAGCTAGGCAAGCGTTCTAGAACCCCTGTGCAAAATTGACGTCTCTTTTGGGTCTGATGTTCATGGCACTGGTGTTGAGTTCCGCATTGCACAGTTCAAAAAAAAATGACACCATCCTTATCTTGGGTGAGCTGTACATTTGAGAGGAGTGAGGTTCAGGTTCAAATGTTTACCTGTAATATGTGTTTGTCATGACAACTAAAAAAAAGGTCATATTGGGCTTGTTTTGGTGGTTGTGATCCTTATGGTTCTCTCCAGCTCCAGAGCAGGGATCCCTGTGTGGCACTGGCAAAAGGTAGGAGACCCAAGTGCTTGAGTCTCCCCTCCTTTCCCCTTCCTTCTTCTGGAATCTGGTTCCAGCTCAAACAAAGTACTCAAGCCTATTTCTTCATCTTTAAAAATGGAGATGATACTTCATGTCCTTTCCATCTCAAGAGGGTGCTTGGGGGAAGAAAGGAGGCAACGGATGTGAAGGGCTTTGAGAACAGTAAAGTGCTCTCTCTGAGGCTGCTGTACATCCTCGAGCTTCAGGCCGAGGTAAGAATGAGGGGACAGAGGCTCGGAGAGGCAAGGTAGCAGTGCCAGTTCCCTGGGACCTAGGGGAAGGAGAAGGGGAAGGAAGGAGGGGGCCTAGGAAGGAGAGGGGAAGTCTGGTCTGTGCCGGGTGCTCTGCTTGCATGCTTGCTCTTAATTCCCACAGTAGCTGTCCTCATTCTATGGTGAGGAAACTGAGGCTTGGGGAGGTTAGGGGACTTGTTCGAGGTTACTCGGTGACCCGAGTGAGAGACTTGGGGTGTGAGGCCGGCCTGGCTGCCCCTGGCGCACGCCCCCCACTCTTTGCCTATGTCTCCACCCTGTGGATGGGTGGCTTCTGTCTATCCGGGGGACACTGGGGGAGGGGGCAGCTGGGCAGGGAGACACTGCAACCCTGAGCAGCTCTGGCGAAAGCTGGGCGTCCCCCTCCCCTGCTCTTCCCCACACGCTCAGATGACCCCGTCCCACGCAAAGGTGACCAGCCGCCTCGCGTTCAGCAGCACGCGCTGATGCCTCTGTCTGGTTATTCTGCCTGGCGGTGTGCCCACCGAAGTGTTCTCCCAGAGAGGTTTTCTCCCTTCACAGGGCCTCCCTTTCTCCCTCCCACCTTTCTTTCTCTCCTAGTCACCACCACCTGCTCCAGTTGTCCCCATGGCACAGTGCTTTGTAGTGGGAAGCAAGGTGGTGGGAGGGCGGGGGACGCACCTGCAACACTAAAGCTGGGGCATCGGCCAAAGGCTTCTTCCCGCAGGGGCTCCGAGCCAGGGAGGAAGGGGGGAGGGGGAGGTGGTCCCCATTTGCTGTTGCTCCTCCCTCAGGCAGCCTCCCTTGTCTCAGGCAGCCTCCCTTGTCTCTGGCAGCTCTGGCGCCTAGAAGGAGAGTCACCCTTTGGCTCCTGGCTTGGCTTAGCAAAAACCTGGGTACTTTACCCAGCATCCTCCAGTATCACCATAATGCACCTCTATCCTCCCGGCAATAAAGCAGCATTCTACACTCATAGCCGGTGCCTTCCTGCCAGCTGTCGTACCTCTCTGCCCTTCTGGGATGTGGACGTATAGCAGCTCTTGTCTTGGGATTTACCAGAGGAAACAAATGCCCTGGGACCTTGTCTTTTCCCTGCTGCCATTCCTTTCCTGGCTTCGTGTCTTTCTAGGCAACTCTTCTGGCTGCCCAGGGCTCTATATATAGCTGCCTTGGATCAAGTCAACAAATGCTTGTTGCAGCGATGTGCCCAACCCCGAGTTAAGTGCTGTAAGGAACAAAAGGGAAGATGAAAATGTGAACCCTGACCCCGGGGAGCTTCAAACGTAGCAGGGGAGGCCAGACTTGTCTGTGAGACAACCAGAGGAAATTGACAGTCAGACATAAGGCATTGGATTATGTGATTCAGACTAGGTGTTCTGGGTGTTGCAGAGAAAGAGGGCAGTGGGGACCAGAGTGTTGTAGAAGACACAGGATTTAAGTGAGACTTTGATGCTCTGAGGGACTTGGGGAAGTGTGATGTATTAGTTATCTGTTGCAGTGCAACAAACTACCCTAAGATTTAGCAGCTTAGCCCAACAATAAACATGTATTATCTCGTACACTTTCTGGGGGTCAGGAATTCAGGAGCAGCTTCGCTGTGTCTGGTTTGGGGTCTCCCATGCCTGAAGTTGCAGTCATGGTGTCAGCCAGGGCTCCATTCATCTGAAGGCTTGACTGGGGCTGGAGGATCTGCTTCTAGAGTGGCTCCCTCACATGGTGGCAAGTTGATGCTTGTTGTTGGCAGGAGGCCTCCTTTGCTTGCCCCGTGAGCCTCTCTAAAGGGATGCTTGAGTGTCCTCATGACTTGGCAGCTGGCTTCCTCCAGAACGAGTGATCCAAAAGAGAGCAAAGCAGAAGCAACATTGTCTTTTAGGACCTAGCCTTGGAAGTCACACACCGTCCTCTCTGCCTTCTCCTATTGGCTACACAGATCAGTCCTCTCCAGTGCAGAAGGGGGCTACACAAGAGCATGAATTTCAGGAGGTGGGGATCATCAGGGACCATCTTAAAGTCTGATGAGGGTACATTCTTGTCCTCGGGCCCCCCAATGATTCATACCCTTCCACATGCAAGTCATACCCTCCTCTCCCAAGGCCCCCCCAAAGTCTTGTCCACTTATGGTATCAACTCCAGGTTTCGAATCTCATCATCTAACTTAGGTCCAGGTGCAGATGAGGCGCCTTGGGTCTGGTTCCTCTAGTACAGCTCCTCGAACACAGTTCCTCCCCATCTGAAGTCCCCTCCCTTCATCTGAAAGAGACAAGTTACCTGCCCCTATAGACTCACTAAACAGTGCTGGGCCAGGCATGGGAACTTTCTCTAGACATTCCAGTTCAAGATGGGAGGATAAAGGAGACATGCAGGGGTCATTCATGAGGAAAGGACACTAACGTTTTGTGAGCACCCACCTTGGGCATTGTTCTGGAGCTGCTCTAGTTCATTATCTCAAAGACCCCGCAAGGGAAAAAGTGAGGCTCCGAGAGGTTGGGTCTTGCCCCAGGTCTTGTATCTAGTGGCTGGCAGAGGCAGGATTCAAAAGCCAGTCTGTCTGCTTCGTGGGCTTGATCGCTTTCCACCAGCCCAGCGGGGCGTGAGTGTGATCGGGGACACAGTGTGATGAGAGGTGGGAAAAGCCTGGTGAGGGCTGGATGTGGGGGAAAGGTTTTTGCAACACGAGTGAAGGCTTCCACAGCCGTGCCTCTTTAGTCAAAGCTAGCTGTCTCCACTTCTCTTTACTCTGAGAGTTTGCTCCCACTTATTTATCGAGATGACTTGTAAAAACCGCAATAAACGGGGACCGAGGCAGGTAAAGACGGCATGCAGAGTGCTTGAGAGAGGCTGGGATGTCTCCTCAACCTGTGCTTTCCAATCCCATCATTATTCCTTGGTTTCTGGGGTTGAGGACTTGAGCCCCTTAGCATCTGCTCACCAGGTAGAAATGAGTGAGGACCTGTGCTGATCTAGGACTGCGTCTCTGCTTTCCAGGGCAAAGGGCGTTGGAGCCAGCAGAAGACACGATCTCCCAAATCTCCCACCCTAGCGAAACCCACAGAGCCATGCACGCCCTCCAAGTCCCGAAGTGCTGGCCCAGAGGAGGCCTCCGAGTCACCCGCAGCCCGGCAGATCCCCCCAGAGGCTCGTCGGCTCATAGTGAACAAAAATGCTGGCGAGACCCTCCTGCAGCGGGCGGCCCGTCTTGGCTATAAGGTAAGGAGCACCCCCCCCCAGCCACAGGATGCCATTGCCCGAGCATCTGTGGAGAAGCTTCTCCCCATTGGCTCTTCTGTGGCCTGGGCAAGGCTTGGTTTGGGGCTTGAGCCCAGGCTGGCCTCCTCCTACTGCGCAGACGGCCTCTGGGGCCGCCTTGACCCTGGCGTGGTGTGTGGGAACGCAAACCCTTTTGAAAGGCAATTTAGGATGAACAGAATTGAAATGGTAACACAGTATCATCCAGTACATTCCTAGGCCAGAAATGGGATTTGGGGGTTTTTATGTCGTCTTGAATTTCCCTGTGCCGTGGCTCCCCCACTCAGAGAGGGACAGGGGTGATCATCGCTCACTCTTTACGTCCCTCTCCAGCTTCCCCTCGTTTTGGCTTCTGGTAGTGGGGGAGTCAGGAGTACATTGGAGGGGCAGAGATGAGCTCACCCCACCTCATGCTACTTCCCTATGGATCGAAAAGAAATTAGGAAAGGAAGCTGCTGTTTATTTTGTCGTGTTGAGTTCTCATTACATCGTGTCCTTTCATCTTCACCGTAAGCCTATGGCAGTAGGTTTTATTAACCCCATTTTATAGGTGAGAAAATCAGGGGTTAGCACTGTTAAGTGATACATCCACAATCACTCAGCTACTACGTACATGTGAGTCTGAATTCACACCAAAGTCTTTTTGATTCCCAAATGCCAGGGTAGGGGTAGAAGCCTGACTCATTTGCCATCATGCAGTTACCTGGTTGGACATTTTTGTTGATATGAGCTCCTTGACCATGTGCCTTTGCCCGCCACACCAATTATTTCCCCAGGATTTGCTCTGAAGGGTGGAGCTGCTGGGCTTCAGAGTAGGCCCTCTTTTCTTTTAAGGCTTCCGACACCCATAACTGACTCATTTAAAGACAGCTGCACTCCCAGCCAGCCTGGTTGGCATGGGAGAGCCGCTTTGACAGTGTCTTACTGGCAAACCACGTATCTGTCTCGAGCACCTCGTGTGGGGGCCTGGGTAGCTGCCAAGGGAGATCGAAAGAAAAAATGATGACCAACGCTTGCCCTTTAAGTGAACTTCTTTTACCTGGGGCCAAACCAGCCAACAGGAAACCACAGGCCAACCAATCAGGATGGGTCAAGAGCAAGTTGGACAGCCTGTCATGGGAGGGAGGGAGGGAGGAGTAGTCTGAGGCCTGGAGGAAGAGGCAACATCTGCACTGATGAGGAGGGTAGGGGGCCTTGTGGTCCCCTGGGTAGAGGCAGCGGGCACACGCAGGCTTGCGCGCTCGCTAGCTCTAGCCAGCCAGCCAGCCAGTGAGCTAGCTGTCAGTCAGGACGGCTGAGTCCCATCTCACCAGGCCCTGGGCGAGCTGATGAGAGGCCCCTGGTAGCTGCTGTCAGCCTCTTTCCCTCAGAAGAGGGGCTGCCTCTCCCCTCCCCGTCAGCGTATTCACCAGCTTCATCCTAGACTAGCTAGGCAGCTTCTAGGCCTGGAGTCCCGCTTCTGGTCCTGTCGTCTCAGCCCAGGGAAGCTAATCACTACTATGGATGAGTGACCTTACTGGCTTATCCTTGGAACAGTCTTGATTTGAGGGGAGGCCTGGAATTGACTGCCCAGGGATAAACATCCAGCGATAGTACTTAAAACAATTAAAACCAGCATCCAGGGATAGTACTTAAACCAATTCTTTCTTCCTTGTTCTCAAATTACTGCCAGGGGCTGTGCTTGCCAGCACATGTCTCATTTCTTTGGTCTGGGGCTGTCTCAAAAAGCCCCAGACTACAGAAAGAGTGCTCAGACACTTGAGACCTGAGGGTTTAAGCTCTGGGTGGGCAGGTGAGCCTCTCTGAGGGCCTCAGCCAGCAAACCACACCCAGATGAGTGTTCTCGGTCATTAGAACTGCCTCCCCGTGGCTGAGGACACGGCCGGAAGTTGAGCCGCTGGCGATGGCACCTCAGGACTGATTTTGTTGGCAAAAGATTTTGAGATTTGCCTGTCAGTCTCTGGACTAAAGAGCAGGTTCTGAGACTCTTTGGACAGTTGGAGAGCTTCACACCTAACTAGGGTGATTTCCAGAGTTTGGCCTCTGTTTGCTCACGGCGCTCTCCCTGTTCCCACAGGACGTTGTTCTCTACTGCCTCCAGAAAGACAGTGAAGATGTGAATCACCGTGACAACGCTGGCTACACGGCCCTGCACGAGGCCTGCTCCCGGGGCTGGACTGACATCCTGAACATCCTGCTGGAGCACGGTGCCAACGTAAACTGCAGCGCGCAGGACGGCACGAGGCAAGAAGGCTGCTCCCCTTACCCCCCGCCGCCTCCCAACTCCCCGCTCAGCCCCTCCCTCAAGAGAACCTGCCCCAGTTCGGACCGGTTTAGGGCAAGGCTGGATGAGTTCCTGCTGGCCAGTCCACGTTGGTCACTGAGGGGAGGCTGGTGTTGTCTAGGGATCATCCTGTGCACCTGTCTCAGGCAGAATCTCGGGCTTTAGGAATGGGAGGTTGACCTTAGGGTAACATCCCAGATTTGATTCTTGAGTTGATCTCTGTATACTTTAAAAAAAAAAAAAAGACACCTGCCATTGTCTTAAAGAAATTGCACCCATTCTCCTGTGCTCTATTCGAGGGCCTACTTCCTGAGTGAAACTGACACAAGTTGCATACCGAGTGGGGGGACTTGGGTCAGAGGGTGTAGGCTCCGCTTGGCCACCGGCCTGGTGTGTGGAGCAGCCCTGCTCATCCCTGCTCTGGGGCAATCATCTGGGTTTTTCCATTCATATCCCCCAGCATCTGCTCTAAGTTTATCCTCAGTCAGGGACCTGTTCTCTCCTGAGCTCCAGAGCTAACAGCGGAGCTCCGTTGTGCCACGGGGACTGTCCCGTCATGGTGGGGGAAAGATAAGAGAGAGAAATGGGAGGGAGGAGAAAGGTAGGGATAGAGGACAGTGCAGGCCAGCAAGTGGTTCCCCTGCCCTAAGTCTTACCCACGTTACACTGGGGTCAGCTCAGTTTGCTTTCCCTGATGAGGTGGCTTGAGGCCTAGACACCCAGGTTCCCACTTGGGCCCTGCTGTTCTCACCCTGTATCACCTCGCAGGCCAGTTCATGATGCGGTGGTCAACGACAACCTGGAAACCATCTGGCTCTTGCTGTCCTACGGGGCTGACCCCACGCTGGCCACCTACTCGGGACAGACGGCCATGAAGCTGGCCAGTAGCGACACCATGAAGCGCTTTCTGAGTGGTGAGTACAGCCCAGACTCAAAACCTCGTTCCTGGGGCTGGCCTCTGATCCCTGAGCTCCCGAGATGCCCTTCATCTTCCTCCATCTCAAGCACCTCCTGTGAGGGGTGTCAGCCCTCTTCACGGGCTTTCCTTCTGGTGGCTCAGAAATCTCTGTGAACTTTAAAAAGTCAGAAGGTCGCTTCCTCTTGTCCCTGTGCTTTGAGCGTCCACGTCACACGCATCCTCTTCAGGGCCCTGGTAGCCCGCGGGGACCCATTTCCCCGTTTGGTATGTGGGGAGGCCTCCCTGTGGACAGCAGCCCCACTAGTAGATTTAGTTGGGGGCAAAATGTGTGGACTTGTGCTTTGAATGGTATGTCGGTTGCAAAGAAGTGACACTTAACATTTTGCTTTTGTTTTTGCACTTTGTATTTTCTCCCTGTTGGTGGTCAAAGTCCAACCCTTGGGACCTCTCCGATACTTTATTCCTGACACTCTGTGGTAACTCTGATGTTCCCTCTGCATCCTCCTGTTCCTTTCTCTTCCTCCCTCACCTGCCCCCTCTGGAAAAGTAGTGTTAAGGCCCATGGCAAGGGCCACAAGCCAACTTGCCTTTATTTTCTTATTAGCGGATGACAGCTGTTTGTCTGCAGTTAGATAGCTCTGGCGAGTTGGGCAGCAGGGAGGAGGGAAGGAGGGAAGTCTAGCTTGGGCATGCTCAGTGGGAATCTCCTCAGACTTGACCTCCGAATGAAGGAACCCCGCCTCCTTCGTGACATCACAGCTTGGCCCTTGCGCTAGCAGTGACTTCTTCAGGCTGCCTGAGCGGCACTTGGTCAGATGGAGCAGCTGGGAGTTGTGTCGCTGATCCTCCTCGGAGGCTTCAGTGTTTGTGGTTCAGCGCCTCTCGCCTGGAAGCCCACAGGGTCAAGGATTTGCCCGAGGCTGCTCCCTCTCTCCTGGGCTGTGGCCTCAGCCCCGAACTCTCCCCCCATGCCCCCACGCCCCCCCCCCACGCCTCCCCCAATACAGTCCTGGGCTCCCAATCAGGGACTCATTTGTTTATTGAACAAAGGTTAACTAGGTGGCTGATGATGGAGGAAGAAACAAAGGAACCTGAGCTAAAGGTCCCCATGGAAGGAGGACTAGGTGGGAATTGCCTTCTAGGTACTAATGAAAGCTGGAGGGGGAGCGATAGGAGGCCGCTGAGGGAGCCCTTGACTCCTGCTCAGCCAGCCCCCAGCCAGTCCGCAGCCAGACCAACTCATCCCTGTGGGCCCCCCACTGTGTGCAGGCCTCCCGCCCCCAGCAGGACCCAGCCTCTCTGGCTGGAGCAGGACTGCCTCTTCCCTCTGCCGGCTCTGGGGTCCCAGGCCCCTGTCTGTGAGGGGTGGAGCCCCTTGGGGATGCTCCTTCAGGCATTTGTTCTGGGCCACTGAGGACTCTTGTTCACTTTAGCTGGACCATCACCGGGGCTCGGGGCAAGCCACCCTCTGTGGCCTCTTCCTGCATCCCACGCACCGCACGCACTCTCCTCCACGCGCACGCATGTTGTCTGCACTCCACACAATTCCCAGGAAAAGCTGCCACACGGGACCATCCAGAGCATCTCAACATGATAAAAGCACTGCACGAAGCTCTCCTTTGATCAGCAGGTCTCATCTAGGGGTGTCTTTGGGCTAGAGACTGCCCTCCTGAGGGCTTGGGGCCCTCTGGGTCCAAATAAAGCTGTCTCTGACCACAGTTGTAAGCAAAGTCTTTTCTTCCCGGACCCCTTCTCCAAAATCCCCAAGGAGTTTGAATGTTGAAACCATTTTAAGTAGTTACAAAATTAGAAATAAACACGTTTTTCTCTCTTCTTCTCATGTCTGTTAACTAATCCCAACTACTAGAAAGCCTTTTGACGCCTCCTTAAACTAACTTGGATGCTAGTCTGTGTTGCAGACGCAAGAAAAGACTTTTCTTAATTGTGGCACTTCCTAGCCTGTCCAGGCTGAGCACCTTCATTCAAATCTTGACATTGTTTCTCAACTTTATGGGCATGGAGCTATAACTTCATAGTGGGAGCCAGGAGCTGAAAGGAGTGTTAAAACTGGGCCACCTCTTTTCCATGCAAATACTGAGTGCCGATTGAAGACAGAGCTCTGATTGGCTGTTAGGGAAAGTGCTCAATCTGGCTAGGACCTTGGCAGCCGGGGGAGGCAGGCACCGGGAGGAGGGACTTGAGGCCAAAGGCTGTTTTGGGGGGGGATGAGAAGTATTACTCAGGGCCTTTTTTTAAAAAGAATAAATAAATTTATTTCTTTATTTCTGGCTGCGTTGGGTCTTCGTTGCTGCGCGCGGGCTTTCTCTAGTTGCGGCGAGCAGGGGCTACTCTTTGCTGTGGTGAGCGGGCTTCTCATTGCGGTGGCTTCTCTTGTTGCAGAGCACGGGCTCTAGGCGCACGGGCTTAGCTGCTCCGCGGCATGTGGGATCTTCCAGGACCAGGGCTCGAACTCGTGTCCCCTGCATTGGCAGGCGGATTCTTAACCAGTGCGCAACCAGGGAAGTCCCCCCCCACCGCCTTTTTTTTTAATTGAGAAACTCACCTAACAGGACCATTTTGAAGTGAACAATTCAGTGGCATTTTGTACATTCACGATGTTGTGCAACCATCACCAGGAGCTTTTTGATTCCTTGAACCGGGTATTTCTCTTTTTTCATCTCCATAGCTCTCCCCTGCCCCAAATCTCAAGGAACCACTGGGTAGAGTGGCTGCAGGAAGCACCACGAGGTTGAGGGTTAGGGAGGCCCCTACACCTAGATGCCTCCGTGTGGACTTCCGGGTTTCTTTTTACCTTGCCTGTCTGGCCGACGTAGTTAAGAAGCTTTTTGCTTTTCATCCCCAAGCATTTGCCTGACCAAATTCTCCATAGATTAATTGTCTTCTTCCTCCCCTAGTGGAGATCCCACTGGGCAGCAAATGAAGGCGAGTCCCTGTAGGGTGTAAAGGGCGGAAACGGCGAGCCAGAGAGATTCTCAGGGTTGTGCCCCATGTAGAGCATCCTCATTTTGTACAAGTCCCCTGTTCTGGAAAAGTCTGGGAATCAAATCCTCTTTTAAATATAAAGGGATGGTATCCTGTAGTGAATTCTTCTGTAAAGCAGAAGACGCTGGTAATTCGTGTGGGTTGAAAATGTGGACTTTCCTACATTGGCTTGGCCTAACACTGTCTGGAGGTCAGACAGTGAACCTTTTCTCTCTCGTCCTTGGGCTCGGAACACCAAGCCATCCAAACCTTCTGAGAGGCCTTTGGAAGACCTCCTCCTTGGGCCAGATTACAGGCAGGCATGTGACTGATTTCCCTTTGACCCTTTGAAGAAAAGAATAATATCCAACCTACCCAAGGGAAAACAGACTCGTTTTTCGTCCTCTGTCAGAAAGAATGTGGGAGCTGGGGGGAATTGTTGCAGTTTGGGTTGGGGCATTGGAGGAAGTATCAGGACTGCTTTTCCTTCCACTGATGAAAGGGTTAGCCATTTACCACTTGAGGTCACTGAATCACAGGTTTTTGTTTTTCCTGCCAGAGACCTCAGCCATATGACCCCATGTCGAAGACTGCTTGTTTTTTGTTTTTCTCTCCTTTCATGTCCCTCAGCTGGTGACTTGGTTGGAGGAGATGGGGAGGGGTACGATGGGACCCTGGGACATAGAGAAACTCTGATTGCCAGGGTCACGGCTCACATTGAGTACTTTAAAAAAATTTTTTTTTATCAAGGCAAAATTCACATAACATAAAAAATAACAATTTAAAAGTGAACAATTCAGTGGCGTTTAGTGTGTTCACAGTGTTGTACAACCACTACCTCTATCGAGCTCCAGAACATTTTCATCTCCCCAAAATGAAGCCCCATACCCATTAAGCAGTTGCTCTCTACTCCCACGCCACCCCCCAGCCCCCTGGCAACCACCTGTCTACTTTGTCTCTGTGGATTTGCCCATTCTGGACATTTCATAGAAATGGGATCATACAGTATGGGGCCTTTTGAGTCTTACTTCTTTCACGTAGCGTCATGTTTTCAAGGTCTGTCCATGTAGTGGCATGTTTTTAAGGCTGAATGATATCCACTCGTATGGATAGATCACATTTTCTCTTATCCATTCATCAGCTGATGGACATTTGGGTTGTGGCCACCTTTCGGCAATTGTGCCTAGTGCTGCTGTGAACACGCGTGAACAAGTATTTGTTTGATTCAGTATTTGTTTGATTTCAATTATTTGGGGTATATACCTAGGAGCGGGATTGCTGGGCTGAGGGTTCTTTTTGAAGGCAAGGAAAGCGGAAAGAACTGAAAGTTAAGGGGAAGGCAAGGGAGAATCAGGGAAAAGGAGTCACTCCTCATCCTGATTGTACGAGAAGACGTGTGAGGAAACGTGCCTCAAAGCTGCCCCGTCAAGCAGACCTTGATGGTTCCTCTTGTATGCCACTCGTGGGCCTGTTCCGACTTTGGCATCTTTGCCTGTGCCAGTTAACTTTGGGCTGTCTCAAAAAGGCAAATTCACCTGCAAATGACAAAGATCTGTCGCCAGCGAGGAAAATTAGAGGAGTGTGCCGGGGTCTCTGAAGGCAGCTCCAAGAGAAGAGCCCCAGGAATGTGGTGAGCGAGGGCTGCTCTGATGGAGTCCTCGTGTGACCTGTGTGGGGGACAGCAGTCACTTGAATGCATATGTTCCGGACCCAGGCTGAGTAAGCACATGACTTTAGAGTCTCGCCTTATAGTAATTTCTGCCCCGCCGCCCACTTTTTTCCCCATGTGTTTATTATGCTCTTACTGTGTGCCAGGCACCTGGGCTTTGGTACCAGGGAGACAGTGATGAACAGGACAGACGTGGGCCCTGCCTTTAGGGAACTTACGATCTCATTCCTTTATCTTCTGGGACACCTAGCACAGGGCTAGGCACAGAATAGACACCTACCTGACAGAGGCCTTTGGAAGGAATTACTTCTAACTCCCAAATGGCACACGGTACAGAAGAGGAAATAAGCTGGCAGCCGTGACCTCAGAGTTTTTTCATAGAATGCACAAAAGATCTAATGTACATGACGATAGGTTTTCCCCTCCGGCTGCTCAGCCATTACTTGAATGCTTCTCTCTGACTGCCTTTTCCTCTCGGAAGAAACCCTTCATCTCCTAGAAGGTTGCTAAAAAACGATTTCTTTCAGTAGCTCACAACAACTGATGGGCATTTTTGCTGATAGAATGTGTGACCCAAAGGGAAGGTATATTGGACCGTGGCGGTGCCTTCCATCCGGGAAGCTTAGCTCTGCTCCTTTAAGAGTGGCTGCCAGCTTCCTCCTGGGATTTGGTTTTCAGGGGGCACCCTCACCTCACCTGTGCCCTTTGGACTCTCTCCTGTCCTGTTGCCCAGGTGTCACAGCTAAATCAGCTTGTCAACTGTACTACGTGGCATATTGGCAACCACTGGGCCATGTGCCCACAGATGACACAGTTGAATTTGTCATGGAAACCTGCTTTTTGTCCACGTGGGGCTGAGAGGTGAAACAATTCACCTAGATGATGCTTAGCTAGGGAACAGGGAGGCTAAGGGGTGACCTGATGTCTGTTCTCAGATCAAGTAAGCAAAGGCTTTAAAATGGGGTTTTTTTGGAGAATTTGGTGGTCCAGTGGTTAGGACTTGGTGCTTTCACTGCCAGGACCTGAGTTCAATCCCTGGTCGGGAACTAAGATCCCGCAAGCCATGTGGTGCAGCCAAAAAAAAAAAAAAAAAAAAAAAAGCACTGAGTCCTAACCCCTTAGCCTCCTTTTTTCCTAGTTTCATCCATGTCATAGTGTGTAACAGCACTTCATTCCTCCTAATGGAGGATTGGATAATATTCCATAGTGTTTATCCACATTTTTTTTTATCCCTTCATCAGCTGAATGACATTTGGGTTGTTTCCACTTTTTGGAGATTGTGAATAGAGCTGCTGTGGGACATTCACGTATGAGTTTTTATTTGAATACCTGTTTTTTTAATTCTTTTGGGTATATACCTAGGAGTGGAAGCAATAGGTTTTCATGAGGATAAACTTGGCCATTCCCCTCCCTACCATGTTTTCAAAGACGAAACAGAAGGAATTATGCTTCCTTATCTTACTTTGAATTGGCAAGATCGCGATTGGATATATGAACATTGTGACCAACAGGGAATTGAAATCCTGGGATAGGTCTAGGATTCTGCTTGCAGAGTAATTCCCTACATCATTTGAAGCAGGGGTCGCAGGCCTAAATGCCTTTAGGCTGATCGTGTTAGAGAGCAGAGCAGGCTGGGTGGGGCCTGCTGAATTGGAGAACGCACATGTCGCCTCTCCCTCCAGCCAACTGTTGACATGTAGGAATGTGGATGCAGTGTTGCCAGATCTCCTGATTTTTTTTTTCAAGAAAAGTTGGAAATCCGAATTTTTAAGTGAAATTTCCCAATTTTAAAATGTTAGAAGTTAATTAAATTATAGGGGTTTAAAACACTGGGCCAAAACCTAGACAGTAAGCGGGCTAGAGCTGGTTGTTGGCTGCTGGTTTGTAACCTCTGATGGATAGCAGGAAGCGGATTTCTCTTGGGTCACTCCCAGCCCCTCTTATGGTCCTTCCTTTCCATCTCCCATTCTCCTAACCCCATATGGATATACTTTGCTTCTAGGTTCCTTCTCTAGCCTACCTCCTTTTCTCACTTCCCTCTCTTCTTTCATCAGATCACCTCTCGGATCTTCAGGGCCGGGCAGAGGGTGATCCTGGCGTTTCCTGGGACTTTTACAGCAGTTCTGTGTTGGGTAAGCCTTAAGTGGGATTCTTCCCACCCTTGTCTATGGCTCAGAGGTTTGGGATCTGCTTTGGGTTTCACTGATTCTTCTCAAAGCCAGGAGTGACCTAATGGAGGTAGCCCTTCTTCACTCGTTAGTAGCTTACAGGCCCTTTCAGCCCACACTCTAGCCCATGCCTCCCCCAGACTCAGAACTTGTTGGCCAAAACCAGGAGATGCCATTGATTTGGAGAAAGCCATCCGTCATTAGCCCTCTACCACTCCCCACCCTGGGTACTTGAAAAATTCTCTCTTTTCCAAGTCCCTTTCTCCTCCGTTGCTTTGTCCTAACCCTGCCAGAAGCGCCTATGTGCGTCGTCACCTCTTCTGGTATTGCTCACACTCCAGAGGGACCCAGCCCCTCATCTGGCAGCTACCATTCCCTCCCTACCCTGCCCCCAAGATGCACACAGGGTTTCTGAGATGATAGCTGCTGTCTCCCAAGCCCTTAGCCTTCTGGCCCGAGCTTTCCTTTGTTGGAAGAGCAGTGAGCCTTTATCTGTGGCCGTCATCCGGCATTCACCCATTGGACCAGGGGCTGCAGATCGAGGGAGGCGCCCGCTACTAAGCTTGGGGGAAGTTGGACCAGGAGAGGCAGGCCACACCCGAACACACGGCTGGGGAAGGGAACAGGCTGAGCCCCCTCCGGGCTTCTGGGGACGCCAGCAGGCTTTCTGGTGGCTTGGGAAAGCTGCAGTTTGAAGGGCAGGTGTTTTCCCTTGCCTTCAACTGCCGATGACATCTTCAGGCTTCTGTCTCCAACAGTTGGGCAGTGTATCCTTCACACCACCTTGCTTTTTTCCGGTTGAAAGGTGGAGGAGTATAAGGAATCGCTGGCCACAAAGTACTACCTCCCGGGGCTAGAACTTTCACATGCCCTCCCAAGGCTGTGAGCCATGACATCAGAGACACTTGGCCCTGACTGGGGATCTGGTTCGTCTGATCACCCACCGCCACACCTCTTTATCTTGTTGGGGCATTTCTTTTCTTTGGTCTTAATGCATGTAGCTAAGTCCTAATTCCCTGTATGATGTCTTTACAGAGGAAAAAGATGGGTTTGCCTGTGACCTCCTCCATAATCCTCCTGGGAGCTCCGATCAAGAAGGAGATGATGTGGATGGGGATGATTTTATGTTTGAGCTCTCAGACAAGCCTCTTCTCCCTTGCTACAACCTCCAGGTGTCAGTGTCCCGCGGGTGAGTGTGTGAGAGATCTATGAGGACCAAGCACTAGCACCCCGGGCCAGGGCCCGCCTCCCTGAGAATGCTGGAGTTCTCCAGGAGGAAGCTGAGACCTGGAGAACAAGTGCTAGAGCATAGGAAAGATAATATATGACCAAGTCCAGCCTGACTTTCCAGCCCAGATTAGATATGTTCAGAATAGCTCTAGGTACATTGACTATGTGTGTTTTGCAAAACCAAAATCTCGATTCACTCTCTGAAGGATTTTTGCCCTGTTCCTGGGTGTAAGAGATGATCTGGGAGATATTTGGGCTGGTGAACTATTAGAATCTCTGGAACATTTTTGTGGTTTCTGGGGACAGCCAGACAGAATATTTGAAATTGAGATTCTTGGAAAAGCCGGGACATATGGTTGCCATAGCTATGGGGCCACCGGGGTCCTTAAGTAATCCACAGGCTGGTTTCTCATTGCCTTAATGTTGGCGAGATGATGGCGTGGCTGCTGTCCTCTCAGATTACCGTGCATATTATAACGAGGATCACCCGTTTTCAGAGACTAGGATATACTTGATACTTAGCGTTAGACTGAACCCAGTTTAACCTTTATTTGATGATTCAGAAGGGAGTTCAGCAGCCTGCAGGGCCGTGGCTGAACCGGTTAGGAGGATGCAGGATACACTGTCCTTTCGTTCTTGGCCTCCATCATTAAGTGTCCTCTTCTTGGTGTCTTCACGTATTTCAAGTACCTTTGCAGACACTTTTAAGGATACTTTTTCTTTGATACCTATTTTTAAAATATCAGACCCTATGTTTTTTTAAATGAAAGCACATGAAGTGCACATGATAGACGGGGAGGAGGGGGCAATGGATTAGGAACCCTCTGAGGGAGCCCCTCAGTTGACGACTCTAACCACTAGACCACAGTTTCTTTGCATCCCTTCCCCCCTGGCCTGATAAGAATAAAAATAGCCTCTATGATGACACTAGTAGGGATCAAGTTTCACGGGCTTTTGGTCCTTATTCTTCTGGGCATAAGCTGATCCCTGAGGGCGGGGCTGGGCCTCTGGGATATAGTATTGCACAGTTAATTAATTCCTCCAAAGTATTCAGCACCTCCTTCTCTGAAACAGGATCTTGGGCCCCAGGCAGTAAAAGGACCGGGGTAGTGTGCTTTAGGTGCGGACAGAACACGGGGCAACCGAGGGCCGCGCACCACTCAGCAAGCTGGGCGGCAGGCAGGTTTTCCGTTGAGAGCTTGGTACCAGCAGAGCTGGTTTTCCTGATGTTACATCCTCCAGCGCCACTTCTGAATCTGCCCTTCCACACGGCTACAGCGCGATGTGAATGAACATTTATGTTCTTAAAGAAATGTGTGTGTGTGTGTGTGTGTGTGTGTGTGTGTGTGTGTGTGTGTGTGTAGAATGATGACTCCGAGGCCCTGTGGCTTTCAGAAGTGCCTTCTGACTCATCAAAGCAAGACTGAATTGTGATCACCAATGTTAATGTTCTGAGGGGGTTTTTCCTCCATTCTTGGAAAGCGATGTCCAAGTGTCTGGCATCTGTAGTCCCTTTCCCTTAACCCAGAACACCCCATTCCCTGATTGTGTGAGATGACAGAGGTTATTGTCATTTGTAAGAAATGCTGCATTTCAGGGATGAGGACTGTGGGTCTGGGTAGAAGTTTTAGGTGCTGTACAGAACATTCAATTCCAGAAACATGTCTTAAGCAGTTGTACCAGGTCAAACCCTGAGGGCTAGAATATAGCTCTGGCCTTCAAAGAATCTCCAGTCTGATAGAGGACACAGACAAGTATACCATTAACTCTAATAAAAGACCGAGTTCCTAAGCAGATTTACTATTGTAAAAAACTCAAACAGTTCAGAAGGGTGTCAAGTGAAAAATAAAAGTTCCAGTCCACCCCAAGTCCCCATTTCTGTGCCACAGAGAGAACCACAGTTTACATTTCTTGTATATTCTTTCTGAAATGGGCTCTGTTACAGGTATTATAATAAGGGTACAAGCCAAGTGCCATGAGACTGTGGAAGATGGGATGAGCAACCGGTTACATCGGGGGAAGGCTTCACGGGTGACAGGGAGTCTGCACTGGGCCAGGGAGGAGAGGAGGATGGAGGGTGTGGCACGAGCAAAGGCACTGAGACATTCAAGTTCAGAAAACAGGGCTAGTCCTTCCTCAAGTGGCTGGTATTTGGTGGGATGAGGATACAGTGTGCAGAGTGTGTGTGTGTGTGTGTGTGAGAGAGAGAGAGAGAGAGAGAGAGAAAGGGAGAGAGAGAGAGAGGGAGATTGGGTGGAGACAGGGCTGAAGGGGTCGAATGGGGTCGTGTTTGAATGAGGTCTTGCATGATAATCATGCTAAAGAGTTTGAAGGGTTTTTTGCTGGAGATACTGGGGATCCATTGAAAGTGGTTTAGGGAGCGAGTGAAAAGGTCCGATATTCTTTTTAGGAAACGAAGAATAACAGAGGACCCAGTGAGGGTGGGTGGGGGGTGGCTCTTGGCAGAGCGAAACCAGTTAGGAGGCTGATGCAATATAGTCCAGGCTAAAAGTGGTAAAGGCTGGAAGTGGGACAGTGGAATGGCGAATGGCGAGGAGGGACAGCCCTGGAAACAGGGACCACTGACATGGGGATGCAGCGTTTCCTCGTGGTTTAGTCAAAGCAAGCGTTTGGCCCGGGCCAGCCTAGCAGCCCCCCTCCTGACTGCCCCCAGGCTGTCGCCCAGTCGGGTGTGCTCAGCAAAGTCAGACTGGCTGTAGCTGTAACGTGAGCTCCGGCCCTGCAGAAATGATGGTGCTCCGCTGGAGAAAAAACTTGTCTAATGCATTCCAGAGCCAAAGAGAAATGCCTTTTGGATTACCCGCAGTTTAGGCCTTTCTCCACGGCTCCCCCTCTGCCGGGGAAGATCTTGGAGAACAAGGAGGCAGGGGAAGCAGGAGTGAGAACAGGAAAGGGAAACCAGACAGGCTGGCAGGGATCGCTGGGGGCAGAACTGGTCCCAGCAGATGGTAAATTCCAGGTCACGGTGCGGGTAAGGCCTGGGGAAGCCTGCTCAGAGTTTTAGGTTCTGGAAGGCCCATTTCCCTCCCGCTCCCCGTTTTTGGAAGAGGTCACCACTCATGGGTTGAGTGCTCGCCATTTAGCTGAAAGCTGGGCCTGCCAATGTAGGGGACAGGAGAAAATATTCACCTCCGCTACACTCATGGGGTCTGTGGCTTAGTGGAGGGTGGCCAGACCGGCAGCCCTCCCACCTGCTCCCAGCACCCCACCCCCGCCGCCCCGTCCCCTTGGCCCCCTCCCCTAACTCCCATTCTTGCCTTTTCTAGGCCCTGCAACTGGTTTCTCTTTACCGACGTCCTGAAGAGGCTGAAGCTTTCCTCGAGGATCTTTCAGGCTCGGTTCCCGCACTTTGAAATCGCCACCTTGCCCAAGGCCGAGTTCTACCGGCAGGTGGCCTCCAGTCAGCTGCTGACCCCCGCCGAGTGGCCTGGAGGCATGGACGCCACCTCCGCCCCAGGCTCCTCTGAGACTGTGGAGCTGGTGCGGTACGAGGCGGAGCTGCTTCGGCTCCTAGGGTCCGAGGTGGAGTTCCAGCCTTGGAACAGTTGACCGGGAAAACAGCCCCTCCCTTTTCTTCTTTCTCCTCCCAAGTTCACCCTTCCCCCACCTCCCATGTCTTTCCCCCACCGAGCACCAGACTGCAGAAAGAGGCAATAATACGGACCAACAAGAAGCCGCCTTATCAATGCCAGCATTAGTGACTGGATTGTTTTTTTGTTTTTTTTAATTTGGTTACAGTTAGTTCTCATCTCCCTGTCATCGTCATTGTTGTCGTGGTTGGTGACGGGGGTGGAAAGTTGAACTCCACGTCTGAGGACAAGAGGTCCCAGGGGTGGTGGGAGGTGGCGCCAGGGTCCCTTGGACTGGCCTCCTTGTGTGTGACCAAGACCAAACCTGGGCCCTGGGTGGCCACGGCCTGTCCGGAGGAGAAAAGAGAAAAGCCCAAATCTCTGAGCGCCCCCTCTGTTCCCCTGTGTTCTTTTGTCTTCCATAGTATTTATTTTATTAGTATTTAATTTGTATTGTTTCATTGGTTTCTGATAAGTCTGTATCACTGTGACGATTTGAGACAACTTGTTGTATTGAGGGACTTTCTTCACCTCCTTTCTTTGTCTTTCTCGATTAAGCTCTGAAGCTGTTCCCTCCCTCCGAAAAAGTTACTCCCAGGGTTTTTTCCACCACTGGGGAGGGGGCGGGGAGGGGTGGGGGGGCCACTGGCCTGTGACTAATGATGGTGGCTGGTGCTGGCCCAGGTCTGGGGGGTGGGGGGTGAATCCTGAGTCTTTGGTGCTCACCCCTCCCCCAGTTTTTCCCGTTTCACCCTCCTGCCCTTTGCAGCAGCCCTGCTGTCTCGAGATTAGTGTTTACTGGGGAGGGGAGGATTATGGGAGTAAGGGGTTAATGAGTGACTCTTATGGAGGAGAGTTGAGAATGGGTCTGAAGGATAAGGTAGCCCCCTCCTTGCTGTCCTCACTGCCCTCCTCAGAGTGCACAGTATGGGTTTGTTCCTGCAGCTTTCCCCTCTGCGCCCCCGGCCTCCCTGGATACTGAGCCTCTCGGCTCCCCACCCTTGTCCCCATCTCTCCCCCTTGCCTGACTCAGAGCACCACTTTCCTCTCTCTTCTCTCTCTCCTCCCTCATTCTCCCTCTGCCCCCAACCTGTTCTCCTTTGGAATCTGCAGAGGGCTCTGGGATTGCCTGCCAGATGTTGAACCCAGGCCTCAGCTATTTCCTAAGATGAGGGCAGGAGACTGGTCTCCTGCCGGCCTCCACTCCTGCCTGGGGACCTGGGGCTGAGTGTGCGGCCCTAGCAGGCTTCCCTTCCAGCGCTGGGTTTGTTCGTGGAGAGAGGGGGAGGTGCTTGGGCTGCTTCTCTGTCCCGGCCCCCTCTGTGGCGTTGTCTTTCCCACTCTTGTTCTTATTTTTCTATCGATTGCTATTTTTCCGAACAATCCTTGTAGAGAGTGTGTGCCATCCAAAGGCGGGAGGGCCTCCCTACGGCCAGCTCTGGTTGGAGATGGTACAGTTTTATTGTACAGGTGCTAAAACAACAACAACAAAAGAAGAAAATGGAAAAAAAAAAGGACAAAAAAAAAGGCAAAAAAAAAAAAGCCAGTTTGAGGATGGGACAATCTGTTCTCTGGAGACTCCTGACCCTTGCAGGAGCATTGGTGGTTATTTTCTTTGTATTGTGTTTGTTCTTTGTCCCCAGGGGGAAGTTCTAGGCCCCCTTCTGTAGGACTGCTCCCCACCCCCACCATACTGCCCAGTTGGTTTTGAACAGTTGTTCTCCCTTTCTAAAAAAAAATATATATATATATATATGTGTATATATATATAT